TGGAGGCAACTATAAAACAATGTGTGTTGACTCAACTGCATACCTCCAGATCTCCAATGCAACATTTGACGATAACGGAGTTTACTCTTGTGAGGCTCATAATGATGCTGGCAGTGCAAGCTGCAGCAGCGTTCTCACAGTTCAAGGTCAGCTTTTGAGTGGAGACTTGGCTTGTGGATTTTGCCTCCTCTGAACATATGTTGCATGAGGAAAAGGATAATTCCCTGTGTTGGAAGCTTGGATTCGCTGTTTCTTTCTGCAATCGTGTCTTTTTTCTTCAAAATCAAATTTGTCTTCCAGTATGTTGGGGAACACGATGTAACCTACTCTCCTATCATGAATATTAGGACTCTCATCATGAGCTTTTCTTTTTCTGTTTAACCCTCCATAGTATTTCTATTGGTTGAAACTGTCTGGATGAACTGCTTGCTTCGTGTTACGTCTTCATGAATGCTTCATCTGTTAATATATCTCATTGTATTTTCTAGAGTCCCCATCCTTTGTTAAAACTCCAAGCCCTGTGGAGGGCATAAAAGGCAAAGATGCTAGTCTGCATTGTGAGATGTCTGGCACCTCACCCTTCCAGGTTAACTGGTACAAAGACAACAGGCCACTAAAGGAGGATAGAAAATGCAAGATGGTCAATGTGGGCAGCTTTGCTACACTTCATATTATAAAGCTGGAGCAAGATGACGCCGGGCTTTATGAGTGCAGGGTGTCGAACAATGTAGGAAGTAAATCGTGCCAAACTGCCATTACTCTGAAAGGTTAGTGTGATATTAGTGGTCATTTCCTCAAAGCTTGGCCACGTGCGATCACCTCTCCTCATCTGTGATCTTTCCATCACTGTTCAGAACCACCAGTGTTTGTGGAGAAACTGGTCGATCGGTCAGTGAGACTCGGTCAGCAGCTGACGCTGACAGCTACCGTGCACGGCTCGGAGCCACTGACTGTGTCTTGGGTTCAGGACAAAGATCACATTCTCAGAGAAGATGACAACAGGAGGATCACCTTTGAAAACAATGTGGTTGCTCTCGTAGTGCCCCAGGCTGACTCAACCACAGCTGGTAAATACACCTGCCAGCTGAGGAACGACTGTGGAGCGGTCGAGTCGGTCTCTCAAGTGACGGTTCTAGGTTTGTAGAACTCCAAAGTTAATTGCATTACCATTGCAATTAATTACCAGGATTTCTTTAGCCTAATGCGTTCTTGCATAATCTTTAGAACCTGCTGCTATCGTGGAAAGCCCGGAGCTGTTGAATGTGAAGTCAGGAGAAACTGTATCTCTTGAGGTAACAGTATGTGGCTCACCAGAACTGAAAACTACATGGTTCAAGGGCAACAAAGAGCTCTCTCCTAATGCAAAGTATCATCTGAGCTTCAAAAAGCAGCTTGCCACCCTGAAGATTCTGTCTGCTGACAAAGCAGATGCCGGAGAATACACACTACAGGTTACGAACCACGTTGGAACATCCTCTTGCAAAATTAAGCTCACAGTCTCAGGTTTGTGTTTTTTGTGTTCGCTGTCGATTTGTGAGCTTGTCTTCTTCTTGTCTTCTTCTTTTTATAAGCAATCAGCTCTCCATGTTATTGTTTCTTTACAATAGATAAGTTGATTCCACCGAGTTTCATAAAGAAGCTGAGAGATACCCACCTTGTTGTGGGTAAGCCTGGTGAGATGGAGTGTAAGATTACCGGTTCTACTCCTTTAACAACTTCCTGGTTCCATAATGGCCAAGAGATAAACAGTGGGCCAAACTATGACATTAGCAGCATGGATAATGTGCGCACGCTGAGAATTCCAGTGATTAAGACGTCAGATTCTGGCAAATACACATGTAAAGCTGTGAACGCTGCAGGAGCCAGTGAGACAAGTGCTTCAATGAATGTGACAGGTCAGTAATCCAGAGACCAGAATATTTTAAACATGGTTTCCTCAGCCAGGATCAGAAGTTTGGTTACAACAAATCTTTTTTATTTGAATCTTTTTATTGGAAATCAGAACCACCATCTTTTTCTGAAACGCCCGAGGCTCGAGAAACGTTGCCTGGCCAAAGTGTGTCTTTCTTGGCTAAAGTGAAAGGCAGCATTCCCATAAAGATCAAATGGTTCAGGGGAGCCAAGGAAATGCAGCACGGGAGAGGCTGCGAGATCTCCCTGAAGGACGACGTCGCCACGCTGGTGCTTCATAAGGTTGAAAAGTCTCATGCAGGAGAGTACACCTGCCAGATCGTTAATGCTGCAGGAAAGGAGAGCTGCTCAGTTTTTCTGTTTGTAAAAGGTTTGTCAGCATTATATATGCCCGTCTTACAATTCATGCACTGATTTTTATTTAACTGACGGTGGACTTACCCCTCTCAGAGCCAGTCCACTTTGTGAAGAGGCTGAGGGACATTTCCATCGAAAAGAACAAGCCTCTGAGGCTCGAGGTCGCATATGCTGGAACCCCAACTGTAAATGTAACCTGGGAAAAGGATGGTAAACTCATCCAAGCCTCTTATCTGCACAATATGATCACCACAGACACCTCTTGCATCCTGGAGGTTCTGAACTCTGAAAGGATGGAGGCAGCTGGTAGATACTATTGTGAGGTAGACAATGGAGCTGGAAGTGACAAATGTGAAGCACAAGTTACAATCCTAGGTAAAATGATTGGTTGTGCATGTAAATGTGGATCCCTCTGTTTTTCTTATGGTGACTTATGACCATACATTCATTAATTTGGCCATTTTTTTAAACACATTTTTCATTTGTATGTTTACACATCTGCACTTAAACTAAACCACCCTGATGTCTCACTTTAGAACCACCATACTTTGTTGACAAGCTGGAGCCAGTGGAGGTAACTATGGGTGAGGCGGTGACCTTAGAGTGCAGGATTGCAGGAACTCCTGTGATCTCTGTCGCCTGGTTTAAAGAGGATGGAAAGCTGCGCAAGTCCAACAGTTGCTCAATGGACTTTGCAGATGGCGTTGCCACTTTGCAACTGTTCAAATCTACCAAGTCTGATCACGGTGAATATATCTGCAAGGCCGAGAACCGGGTTGGTTCAGCCTCCACCAGCTGTAGCGTGACTGTGAAAGGTGATGCTCACGTTCACTACTTCATTTTTCTACATTAATGAAGAATGAATGAAGCCTGGTGTGACTGTCAATATTTTAAAGACATTTTTCGAGCTGTTTTGTTGAGTTACAAGGAATCTTAAAAGTCAGCAGCAAGCTTTAATCCAGGTTCATATTTAGAGGTTTCCCACCTTTCAGACAGTCAAAGGAGCTTGCAAAGAAAAGCGTCTGGACTTCTTTAAGTTGCTTGAAGACGTTTCAGCTCTCATCCGAGAAGCTCTAAGGTCAAATGGTGGAGAGTCCCAGATATAAACCTAGTGGGAGTTTCCCCCCACAGAGGGACAAAAGGACCCCTGATGATCCTCTAATCGCCTGAGCCAAGGTGTGAAACTGGGTGTGGGTCCCAATCAGCCAGAGTTTCAGGTGAGCTCATTGTGAAACCTGGCCCCACCTTATCATGCGAATTCCTGAGGTCAGATGGTCCAGGATGTGAGTGGGCGTTAAGGCGTCTGGGGAGGGATCTCAAAACTGGATTATAGATGGCAGAGAGTTGGTGTCGTAAACCCCGCCTCTGTTCAAAGATGGTCGCTCACAGTGGACATAGATGCTTCTTTCACTCCTCTTTCAAACCACCTTGGCTCAGGCGATTAGAGGATCATCAGGGGGTCCTTTTGTCCCTCTGTGGGGGGAAACTCCCACTAGGTTTATATCTGGGACTCTCCACCATTTGACCTTAGAACTGAAGAAGCTTCTCGGATGAGAGGTGAAACGTCTTCAAGCAACTTAAAGAAGTCCAGACGCTTTTCTTTGCAAGCTCCTTTGACTACGATGACCTGGATGCCTGAGAACCTTCACAGACATACACCTTTCAGACAAGTACTGCAAAAGAGCAGCCGGGACCCGCTGTTGTTTAGGAACACAGTATTTAGTCATCGAGGTCTAAAAACTGATCTTAGTTTATCTCCAATATTTCATAACCTCCATCACCTATTATTATTAGATGGCAGCATAACAGGGGAAGCGTGAACCAAACCATTGTTTCTCAGAACCAGCTTGCCTGGCATGATGTTGAGACTGAAGATATACTTGAAACACTCAGAGGACAATTCTCATGTTTATGTAACATGAGTAAGTGAATAATTCATAGATGCCAGTCATGTCAGAAAAGGTGGTGCACGAACCGACACGTTTCCTTTGTCTGATTCCTAGATATCGTTCTAATTACTGATGCTGTTGAACGTAGCTGTTTCCTGTGGTCTGCGGACCAAATGCACCTACATTCCCCGAGGTTCAGATTGCAGCACAGAGATTGGCCCTTTGCTGTGGCTTCACCTAAACTTTGGGACATTAGACACTCTCAAAACACACCTGAAAACCCTCTTATTCTCTTTTAAACCAGAATAAGTTCTGATTACTTTTGTGCTATTTCTTACTCAGATCTTCTCGATTTATATTTACTTTCTTAAATTCTGTTGTCTTTCGTCATCTTTTTATGCCATTTGACTTTTCTTTTGGATGTTCAGCACTTTGGTGACCAGCTGTTGTTTTAAAAGTGCTATGGAAATAAATTTGACGTCCTGTGATCTTGTGCTTGCCAGGAATAACCAGGATGATATTTTAGGGTGTTTTCAGTGGCTGGCTCTGCGTTTTGTAGGTCTTGAAATAAGAATTTACTAAGCTTTGAGAGATGCCTGAAACCAACGCTGTAATGGTCAGATAATGGTCTTTTTCATAGACAGGAGATTTTTGGTCAGAATCTCTGATGTTTAGTATTTCTTTGCTTTTGTGTTGTTTGTATGTTGTCTCGTGTGCTGTGCCAGACTGTTTTCCTGAAGCTGTGGTAAAGGCCCAGTGGCCTGAACTCTTAAATTGGAATCTCAAACGTCCAATGCCACTGCATGGCATGATTTTCGTTCTTATTTTCTTCCCCACTAACAGAGCGCAAAGTTCCGCCAAACTTCACCAGGAAGCCTTCGGAGTCCATGGTGGATTCAGTGGGTAAGACCGTAAAGATCGAGGGCCGCGTGTCCGGCTCTCAACCTCTGACCGTCTCCTGGTACAAGGACAACAGTGAGATCCGCGCTTCGGACAAATATGATATCAGCTTCAAAAACAACATGGCCGTGCTGTGTGTCAGAGGCTCCACGGGCTCTGACGGTGGTGTTTACACCTGCGAGGCCTCCAATGAAGCTGGCAAAGCTTCTTGTAACGTTTCTCTCACAGTAACAGGTAGGACTCTGTCATTTAGGGTTTGATCCTTTTCATCCATGCAGCTAAAACTGATGTGACTCTACGGGATGTTCTTATGGCACTAAAGATTAAAACCTGACACTTTCATTGTATTAAAGTAATGTTTGGGTAATATTTTACTATATTTGGGTAAAATTATGACTGTTTTCAGGATGAAATACAGTGACTTGTTTTGCTAGCATCCATCCAGATTTTGGATGAGCTTCAGTTTAACAGTTCACTGTTTGAAAGTGAGTATTTGTAGTCATCCTGTCGGTTTTTGCACCACTTCTCCAGAGACTGGCCAGGCTCCCAAATTTGATGTTCCTCTGGAACCAGTGACTGTGGGTGAAGGGGAGAAGCTGAGCCTCCAGTGCCACGTCACCGGCTCTACTCCAATAACCATCCAGTGGATGAAGGACAGGAGAGAGCTCGTGTCCAGCGGAAACACCAAAATCTCATTTGTTGGTGGAACGGCCAATCTGGAGATCAGCCAGGTGTCAAAGACGGATGCTGGAGATTACCTGTGCAAGGCCAGCAATGCAAATGGCACTGACTTCTGCAAGTCTAAAGTCACTGTAAAAGGTAATCAATCTGTGGTTCCAGTTTTGTGTAATGAACACATCTTGTCTCTCCACTGCACGGTGGAAAAAGTTTACTGCAGTGACGCTAAACCAACATTACTACAAAACTTTGTTTTTAAAGTAGTTTTATGAGAAATGCAGTGTTTATTTCTTTCTGCTGGTTATGTGTTTCACAACATTTAACTCTCTTTCAAATCCTTTCAGATAAAGGTGCCAAGGCCACACCCGCTGAGGCTGCTGCCCCGGCTGCAGCCGCCCCGGTCAAAAGGCTCGACAATCTGTTCTTCATCGAGGAACCCCAAAATGTTTCTGTCACAGAGAGTAAGCACGAGGAGCCAAGGCTCTTTTTGCTTTCATTCATTATCTCTAGAGGTTTCCATTTTGAACTAACTTTGTGTATTTCTGATTTTGGCAGAGGGTACTGCAACCTTTATCGCCAAGATTGGAGGTGACCCAATCCCCAGTGTGAAGTGGATGAAGGGCAAATGGAGACAGATCACCCCCGGTGGTCGAATCTCCATTGAGCACAAGGGCCAGGATGCCAAACTGCAGATCAAAGAAGTGACCAAGTCTGATTCTGGTCATTACAGATGTGTTGCCACCAACAAACATGGAGAAATTGAGAGTGGCGCTGATATGGAGGTGACCAAAAAGGAGGACATGGGAGAAGTGGGAGACTTAAGAACGAGGCTCAAGAAGTAAGGCATTAAGATATGGTGGCAGTGTGAAATTCTTTTCTGTGCAATGACTCTTTTGTCAAAGCCTAAAGGAAACAGAAGAGCAAACATCTGGGAGATATCTGCTGCAGAGAAAAGTCTGATCGTGTATTTTCTATTTTCAGGACTCCTTCCAAGCAGAAGAGTCCCAAGAAAGAAGAAGAGGTCAACATTGTAGAGCTGCTTAGAGGTCACGACCCCAAAGACTATGAGAGGATCCTGCGGGAACATGGAATCCATGACTACCGTGCCATCCTGCAGGCCGTGGAGTTCCTGAAGAAGGAGAAGGAGATGGAGACTGGAAGAGCGGTAAGACAGAAAGTGTCAGCACAGATGACCGGACATCGTCCCACATAGCCGTGCGAGAAAGCAGCAGAATTAATATCACGGTTCAGCTTTACAATCTGAGCAGGAAGGATGGAGACAAAAACTTTACCTCTAAATTCCACCAAATAAAGGGCCAAATGGCCCTCAAGTCTCTGGACTGGTAACACACTTCTGGGGTCTCCAACATTTTGGCTTAGCTGTGGAGCAGATAACATTTTACCAACTTTAGTCTGCAAAGACTCACTACCAGCAGCTTCTTAGTGTGAGTATTTGGTCCCATATTTAAACTAAAACCTACTTTGGGCTTCTCCAAAAGTTGATTGTGTTCATCTGGACGTAGCATTTTGTGGGAGAAACGTTTCGTCACAGGTGACTTCTTCAGTCTCAGCTGACTGCAGCTTTCAATCTTATAAACAGGGGCTTATACTTTGGGGCTTCTTAGTTTGAGTTGAGAGCAGCTGAACATAGTTGATGCAGACAAATAAGGCAGAAAAACAGGCATTTTACATACACTTCTCCTTTCCAGAGAGAAATTTGGACATGGCGAACATGATCTCTCCATATTTTTGCTACCAAGCCAACTTTATCTGTAAAGCTTTAAAACAGCAAGTGCTGACCAAAGAGCCGAGAACAGAATAATGCAAAGTTAAACAAATTAATAATAATAATAAAAAAAGCATGAATGAATACCATGGAAACATGGAAAACGTTCACTGAAGCGACTCTCACAGACTCGCCTCTGTCCTGCTGCAGGAGGTCGAGCGTGGGGCACGAGTCGAAGAAGAGGACATGGCCCGACTCATCGAGCAGCTAGAGGGACGCGTCAGCATGGAGGTAAAAGCACCATCTGATTATGAGGCCATTAAAAAAGAAACACATCGTGTTTCAGTATATAATACTGATAATCAATGATTTGACAATACACAACTTCAGACGTTGATGAAACGGGTTTTTCTTGCTCAGCCCGTCTCTGTGATGGAGGACATCACTGACCAAACCATCACGGAGAACCAGAGCGCCACCTTTGAGTGCCAGATTAAGATCAACTACCCAGAGATCACGCTCACCTGGTACAAAGGCACCCAGAAACTGGACAACAGCGAAAAGTACGACATCAGCAGCGTGGGGGACCACCGTTATCTGAAAATCAAGAACTGCCAGGTCAAAGATCAGGGCAACTACCGCGTGGTGTGCGGTCCTCACATCTCCAACGCCAAACTGACGGTCACAGGTAAGAGTCCCGATGTCTGTCTCTGTGTGTCTGTAACACGTCCTCACGTCCAGCTCTTCCATTTTATTATCAGGAGCTGCTCGTAAGACAGGTAAGAAGGATGAGTCCAAACTAACACGACTCAGACTGACCTCTTTGAACCTGAAGGTTCTCCTCTACCTTTGATTGTGTGTTTGTTTCTGTGTCTTTTATACTGAATCTGATTTTAGTCCAAAAAGGAGTCTTAACACTTAACTGTGACATCAGATCTTCACATTTAAAATGCATATTTCGGAGGCTCACTCTTATTGTCTGGTTCTAGTCGATCAAATTCAGTTCACTAAAAGCATCCGAAGCATCGAGGTCAACGAACGCCACTCTGCCACCTTCGAGTGCGAGTTGTCCTTCGACAACGCTACCGTCACGTGGTACAAAGACTCGTGGGAGCTTAAAGAAAGCCCAAAATATAACTTCAGGACTGAAAGCCGACGGCACTTTATGACAATCCACAACGTAACTGCAGAGGACGAAGGTTTGTTACACGGCCAAGTTACTGTTTCCTCCGGAGACACTTTTCTAATAACTAGACCGAAGTTTAGCTGTTTGAGTAGTATGCATCATCTTATAGATTAACATCTGGTTTTAATGGTGCACAATAAAAGTATTAAAAAATAAAAGTATTCTATTCATGTCATTGAATGCATTTAGCCGGTTTAGCTGAGACTTTTACTAACTCACACGACAAACAGCAGCTGAATATCTTTAAGCTAAAAAGATGTTACTGGGCGCTTGAAGGGGGCGTTTTCTGCTGTTCCAGAGATTCATAGTAAACACAAAGTTCTTACTGTTTCCAGCACCTTTTGGTATTTTATCAGTTTTATTTATACAGCACCAAAACACAACAACAGTGACCTGAAGGCGCTTTATATCGTAAAGTAGACAGAAAAACCCAACAAACATATGAATGCTTTTAGGGAGAGGGGCAGTAAAAACGTAAAAGATCTGAAATTATTTTTAAGCAGACAGAAGATAAACTGATGATAAAGTAAGAAATAATTGAGAATTTTTAGGAGGGGGCTAGATCCGCTGTAAAATGATTTTTGGTACATGAAAAACTAATCGGACCAAAAGAAGACATGTCTGCTAACCTGGTAGCGTTCTGCCTCAGCTGCACAGACTCAATGCAAAGATGTGAAATCCGAGTAAAGGTGCGGTCACGCCAGCATCGTTTAGTGGATCCTCTGAACCCTGCTGCTCATCGACCCGCCGTCGTGTTACAGCCGAGTCGCTGCCAGAGTTCAGAGCAGCACGTGCGCTTTCATTTAGCTTCTTAAACCTTGAGCTTTACTCAGTAATCAGTTTTTATTTTTATTTTTTGAATGAACCGAACAGGATACCGTCGAATAACAAAACTAGCCAGCGACCATATTTGTGTACCAGCAGTGGTGTAGCATATATGACTTGTCCTTGATTAGCTCTGTGAAACAAATTTAACTTCACCTGGACATTACTGCAGTGCTGACGTTTAGAGAGGATTAGCTGGGCTCTCTGGTGTGACCGGCCTTTACCGCAATCTCTTCTGTAAGTGTCTGAGGGACAGTTTGGCCTGAACTCCGTGATGTTTCCCCACCAGGCGTGTACTCGGTGATTGCTCGCCTGGAGCCACTGGGAGAAGCTCGAAGCACAGCCGAGCTTTACCTGTCAGGCAAAGGTGTGTACGTTTTTACACATTACTGACATCAGCGTGATGTCAGCAGCTACAATAACGCTTCTGTACTTTGTCCTTTCACAGAAATTGAGTTAGGGAGGGTTCCTCAGGGTGAGTATCTTAAAAAGTGCAGCAAATAAACGACAGTAAACCTGAACACGTCTTCACCTGCAAACTCAGACGCAGGTTTACGATTTTACAACACGGTCGAGGTCGCACTGGTCATTTCACCGACACCATTTTCACAAGAACCACGGCTCATCTATTTGCGAGGCTCCTTGACGTCTCATTGGTTTGCGCAGTACAGCCGACCACTGCCAACAAGGCTTTCACTGTGACTGTGACTGTGGGCTTTCACTGCATCATCTTACACGTCACTGTGATTTCAGTCATACCGAACAAGTGTTAAGTTTTACTGTCAGAACATAAAAACAACAATAATAATAGTAATAATAATAATAGTAATCAAAGTGTTTGTGGCTGAACCTTCAGATGTCCCCGACACAGCCGTTCATGTGTCAGAGGCAGCGTCTATGCTCGTGTGCAGAGGTGAGTCTGGTTCAAACTGATCAGGATTTCAGTGACTCTGCTCGTTTCTGTCATTTACACGATTGTTTTCTGCCACAAGATTCCTCCGAGTTTGATCACTTTGAGGAGAGAACAGAAGTGAGAGGTACAGCAGTCGCCACTCCCCAAGATCAGCTCTAACCGCCGTAATCTCTACAGTTTGCGTGACGAAATTTTCTGCATTAAACCGTTTTCTTTAACCGTCATCACCCTCAAGTCCATCATCATCATAACCATCATCATCTTCATCACCTTCTTCCTCCTCCTTTAACCTTCATCCTGAGTAACTGTGTGCTTGTTTTAAGCGTCATCTGTACACGACCCGTTATAATATCCCAAATATAATTCAGCTTCATTATCTGAGCTGTGCAGACGACGGTCACGTCAGTGTCTAAGAATCACTTTTCAAATTAATCCTGATATGACGAGATTTAAAATTCAGCCAGTTTAAAGATGTACAGTTCTTTTATTTTATTGTAGTAAAGAATTACAAGTTTCTGACTATACTTATGATTTTTATCACGTTGTTTTCTGAATTACAAAAATGTCAACATTCCTGTTGTAAAATCTGATTTATTATATTCTCATTATGGTTTTTGTTGCCTCTCAGACTTCGCTGCTCAGATGTTAAAAATAAAAATGAGGTTTTCAATAAATAAACAGTAAGTCTGATTTTTGTAAAGCTAAACTTAAAATTGGACTATCTCACCTCAAATTCAGAACTTTGATAAATTAACAGTATTTTCAGGATTGTGGAGTTTCATCTGAAATATTTAAAGGTTTCGCGACCTGATCGTCGTCTGCTCAAACATAAACTGTTCACTGATCTGACGTCTAACGGTGAATATCTTTCCGTGGTCTGCTGTAGTGTTTCAAAGTCTGACACGTGAAGAAGAGATGCTTTCGGTTCAGTACTCGTCCGTCTCAGGTATCAGCTTTAATCACTTTATGAAGTGTAATGACTGTTAACGTGCTGTGGACGTGTTTTTGTCTGAACTGCTCATCGGTGCGGCCCACACCCGTCTTCCTGTTTCGCTTGTTATCGTGTTTCGTTGTGTTTTTAGCAGCTTTGGATACTCGACGACCTGCAGCAGCTTTCACGTGTCAGTCGTTCTTTTTCTGAGTTTACATTTTTTTTCCTCACCAGAAGAGAAAAAACCTGTAGAAGAAACTGTTGAGTGGACTGAGGTCGAGGGCAGAGGAGAACTCCCTGAAGGTATAACTGCAAATGTTCTGGCTGTTCATAAAGCTCGGAGCTGAAATATAATGAGGCGCTGCCAATCAGCTGACTGTTATGTTTGTCTGCCCACTTAAATTCCACTTAAATGCTTCAAACACCAACTGCTGCTTACAGAAGCTGTTCTTCTCCTCAGGTGTTACTTCTATGATCCTGCATGTTATCTGTTTTTGTCATGTTTTTGTCTCATCTCTCGGCAGTTATTCTGTTCTTGCCTTCATGCTCTTATTAACCTTCACTGGAGCTTTCCATGCAGTAGATCTGGCAGAGTAGACGGTAGAGCTTTGCTGAAGTAGTTTTAATGTGACCTTTCTTGATCTTTCAAGTTCCTGAGATTCACAGGATGCCAGAGGAGAAACCCTCTGAGCCTGAAGCTCCGCCTCCACCTCTGGTCAAAGGTATCTACAAATGTCTGTTCTTTATATTCTTCTTCGTGTGGTGTTTGTCTTGTTGGTATGTCACATCTTTTCTTTTTTATTTCCATTCTTTATTTTTTTCCTAAATAAATAATAATAAAGAAACCTTGATGTTCAGTTTAATGTGGTGAGAAATTGAAATGAATGATGATGTTTTAAAGTACCTGAAGCAAAGAAGCTACAGCCTGAAGCCCCTGCTCCACCTCAGAGAGAGGAACGTCCAGCTCCAGAAGGTAATGTTCATGATGCAGTGAGTCACTAAAAATGTCTTATTTTATGTGCTTGTGGGTCTTTATTGGCTCACGTTCTCAACTGTTTATGTAAATGATGCGAATTACAAATCTTTACCAGAAAGCATCATACTTTTACACAAACTTCAGGAAATCTCATGATATATTATATTGGATATTTACACTATATTTAAAACTTTAGTCAGGTTTTTGTAGCACAAACTCACCAACTTTAGCATGAATATGAAATTCAAACTATTCACGATTATGCTCTCAAGATCTTTCAGATTTAATGAGTATTTTTTAGGCTTTTTTTGTCTCTTTAATTGTTGTGTGAAGTATTTTCTTGCTTTCTTACAATGCGTAAATAGCATTGAGTTCTTGCTGTCAGGTTTTATGTGTCTCCTCTTTGCCCCAAGCTCTTACAACTCTGTGGTTCCTGTGTTAAATGATGGTAATATTTCTCTGTTAACCTTGAAGAACCAGTAGTCTTCACCCAACCTGAACCTTACCCACCCAAACCAGCAACACCAAAACTGGTTCATTCAGAACCTGAAGTGAAACCCGTGAAACCAGTGGTGCCTAAGCCTGAAGTGGAACCCGTGAAACCAGTGGTACCTAAGCCTGAAGTGGCTCAAATTAAGCCTGAGCTCCAAGAACCAAAAGCTGTCCCCACTAAGAAAACGCCAGAGACCTTAAAACCAAAAGGTAATGTAATGAACACTTTGTTTTTCTGATGTTCAAATGGAAAGTCATTACATCCCAAGTTCTTCTAGTTTTGTTTCATGTTGCTGTGACCTAAGTGTGCACTTCTTAACATGTTCATATATGTCATGGATGTCCTTTGCTGCTAACCTCTTGATCTTTAAGCATTAACACTGTCTATAGTGTGGACCACACGTGGTGTTTGGAGTGTTTGAATATAGCCTTTAAAAAAGACATTGCTTTGGTGTATAAATAACAAATCTAACAAATTTTGATCATGAAAATAAATCTATGGTAAGTAAAAGAATAAACCTTCAAACATATAAATGCTGTGCAAAGTGCCAGCTGTAGACAAACTAGCAGAAGCCACAATTCAGCCAGTCTCTACAATGATTACTTCAACAAAGACTGACGCTAGCAGAACAAAACCGTGGTTCAGAGGGTTGGGAAGCTCATCTGTAACCGGAAAGTTGCCGGTTCGATCCCCCAGCTCTCTCTGTCCTGGTCGTTGTGTCCTTTGGCAAGACACTTCACCTACCGCCTACTGGTGTTGGCCAGAGGGGCCGATGGTGCGATATGGCAGCCTCACTTCTGTCAGTCTGCCCCAGGGCAGCTGTGGCTACAACTGTAGCTGCCTCCACCAGTGTGTGAGAGTGAATGAATAGTGGAATTGTGCGCTATATAAATCCAATCCATTATTAAAAGGTAATGAAGGGACATGTTTTTCATGTGTGACATTAACTCTCTTTACAACAAACACGGCCCGGCTGTGTATTTAATGTACTGTGACTGTGTCTTTCTCTAAGCACTCGATAGAGTGTTGACGCCACCGTGGTTACCAGAAGGTTACTGAACATATACACTGTATGCATTTTTTCCTTTAAAGTACCAAAACCACCAAAGTCAGAAGAACCTGTACTTCACCCAAGTGCAGTCCTTGCTTCTCCATCATTGGAACATCTTCCAACTGAAGGTATAGATTGTTAACCAAAGTCGTGTTGCTTCTTTTTCTCTAATATCATCTTTCCTACTTTGACTTCACTCATTAAGAATGTATCTTTGATTCCATATGAATCTTAATTGTTAGCTGTTGGATAAAAAAATACACAATCTTCTCTTAAGTGCAAGAAACACCAAGACCAGAACAACCTGTACCTCAACCATCTGCACCCAAAGTTACTCCACAAAAAGTTGAAGATGTCCCAGTTAAAGGTACTACAAAGAGTTTGTTGAAAAGCTGCTGTGTTGTGCCGGTTTCTTTTATACTTGTTAGTATAACTTTTGCTTTTCTGAAATATCTTACATGAATATCTTTCAGCATGCTAAGCACTCGTTAGAGTGTGACTACAAATTGTTGGTATTAAAAAAAAAATTTAAATATTAAATAAATCTTCTTTTAAGTTGCTTTAGAATCAAAGATACACGAACCTCCAAGAAAACCATATTTGCTGGCTGATAAACATCAGCAGGAAGTAACTGAACCAAGGGACCTGGAAGCTCCAGAAAAAATCAAGGCTCCTGAGGTTCCTGAAGCACCAAAGAAGGTTCCTGAAGCACCAAAGAAGGTTCCTGAAGAACCAAAGAAGGTTCCTGAAGAACCAAAAAAGGTTCCTGAAGCACCAAAGAAGGTTCCTGAAGCAACAAAGAAGGTTGCTGAAGCACCAAAGAAGGTTCCTGAAGCACCAAAGAAGGTTGCTGAAGCACCAAAGAAGGTTCCAGAAGCACCAAAGAAGGTTCCTGAAGCACCAAAGAAGGTTGCTGAAGCACCAAAGAAGGTTGCTGAAGCACCAAAGAAGGTTCCTGAAGCAACAAAGAAGGCTACAGAGGAACCAAGGAAGCTTCCTGAAGAACCAAAGAAGGTTCCTGAAGCACCAAAGAAGGTTCCTGAAGCGGCAAAGAAGGCTACAGAGGAACCGAGGAAGCTTCCTGAAGAACCAAAGAAGGTTCCTGAAGAACCAAAAAAGGTTCCTGAAGAACCAAAGAAGGTTCCTGAAGAACCAAAGAAGGTTCCTGAAGCACCTAAAAAGCCTCCCAAGGAACCAAAGAAGCTTCCTGAAGAACCAGTTCCAGAAACACTGAAGAAAGTTCCAGAAGTAGCAAAAACAGCTGTGGTAGAACCACAGAAAGTTCCAACAGCACAGGTTATAGAAGCAGAGCCAGTGAAAGATCTAGAAGTGTCAGCAGAACCACAACATTTGGAAACACCAATACAACAACCGCAGGCCAAAAAGTCTGAAGGTAGATATGTCTGTCAATACCATTTGGTTGGTCTTATAACCACTTACTAGTAACTCATCTTGACCTATTAACACAATAAGTTGGCCTTGTTGAAATGCCGTAAGCTTTCTTCAAAGATTTTGTTATGATTTGTGTGTTGACTGTTCACTGTTTGTTACTTCATATCAGTCATCCAAACAGTCAAACAAAGGGGGATACCAACAGCTCTAGCTAAACCACAGCTGGAGGCGAGTACACCAGTCAAAGGTATGCTTTGACTTTGAAAGGTTCCCCGTGGATATTCAGCATTTTTATGAATTCCTTAGAACATGACTAGATACGTTTGCTTCTATAATCAGATGAGATCGTTGCTTCTGGAAAAGTAGAAGACGAGCCAAAGGCCGTAGAAATCCCTCAGCAGAGAGGTAGAAATTCATAATACTTTTAAAATAGTTGTAAAATAAGGGTCGTAGTTGAATATTTACCACACTAAAGTTTGTATTTTTGTGTCTTGGTGGTGTGTATGTGTCGTGTTTTCTTCTTGGCCACCGCTCCATGGTGCATTTCTTCAATCTTGGGTAATATCTTAAAATTTATCCCAGTTCCTCCGAAGACTCATCTGAAGCCAACAGCTGAGGTTGAAGGCAGAAAGGAGTGTCCTGCAGAAAAAGGTGTTGAAGAAAGGACTTCCCTTACAGAAGCTGACTACAGGAAACAGGAAGTCGACACATATGAAGAAGGAGTCAACGAGTCAACTGCAAGAGAAGAAACCATTTTGAAAACTGAGATAATGGAACAAATTGAAAAGACAAAGGAGGTGGTTTCTGTATCATACAGAGAAGATCGTCAGGTAGAGATTATAGAGCAATGGAAAACAGATTATGAGGCTGAACAACTGGAGTGGACTGGACCTTACAAACCTGAGAAAATAGAGAAAGAAATGTCTCAGTGGTCTGCTTCTCCAACTCTAAAGGGGTCTGCCCATTCTCCTGCAGAACAAGATGTTGCACCTCCACCTGAAATGTCTCATCTTTTGCAGAAAAAGGTTTCTTCTCCTGATGTTGGTGTTACATCAGAAAAAGAGGCTTACAAGAAGAAAGAGCAGGCCAAAGAGGCTGGCCTTCCTACTGCGTATTTACAGACAAGAGTTACTGAATCATTATATCATGAAGAAATTCAAGACTCTGCAATAGAGGAACTTAAGTCTAAAAAGGTCACCACATCAAAGAAGCCGAGAGCTCTTACAGAAGTAATTTGTTTGAAGCAAGATGGGTCTGTTGAAGGTAAAGCAGATGTTCCCCAAACCACTCTTTCTCACCCTGCAGCAGTTTCTCCTACAATGGTATCTTCAAGACAAGACATGGTGAAAACTCCTAAAACTTCCATAAATGTATGTGATGAAGATATTCTACCTCTGGACAAGCCAAGTCTTCTATCAGAAGATGCATCGATTAAACAAAGTAGGGATGGATCACGTTTTGTTACAGATCAGATTCCTTCACCCGAGGAGAGACGCTGTTCGGAGGAAGACATTTCTCCAGCAAAGAAGTCTGTTCTGCCAACCAAACACAGCTCCCCTACACTCTCTGAGGCAGTTTTTGGCCTAATAGAAGATCTGTCCCTTGAAGAAGACACTCCTGTCAAGAAACCTATTCCTTCTGTGCCTGCTCCAGTAAAAACATCTCAAGTTCAGCAAATCTCTCCATCTTTGAGAGTTTCTGAGGAAGCAAACAACTCTGCAACTGAAGCTACACCAACAAGAGCAGATGACAAGAAAGCAAAGAAGCCAACACAGAAGACTGACCAACAGGCTCTTGATACAGGTATCTGAGCCACACAGGCTCACGATCGCCTCTCTTAAACTTTACTTTCACTAATATCTTGTACTCATCGTGGTTAACAAGAAAACCTTAGTCCATATTAAGCTGATCTTTTTAATGACGATTTGAGGCAGTCTTGGTCTGTTAACCTCTTTTACTGCTGGGATTTTGTTTTCATTCATCATCTTCATTCTTCAGCTTTCATCCACATCTTTATCTCTGTCGCTGTTTCAGCCTGTTTATGATGTTTGCAGAAATGTGCCTGAAATATCTGTGTCTAGTCTTGGCTGACTGTGCTGCTGTCTCAGTTGTGACCTTGACATCTTGTATTCCTAAAGTGCCTCCTCCTGAGGAGAAGAAACCATCTCTCCCAGCACCAAAGCCTTCACCTACTCCTCCTCGTGAGCAGAAGGGGGCTCCCCCTGCAGGTAGCCTGTTCAGTTTGTTCCTCATCTTTTCTGAATCTTAATGGGCCAAACTTTTTCTAATCTTCACCTCTATTTGTCCTTTCTGTCTAAGTCATCTTCAGATTTCCATGTTTATTTTTTGTTTTATGTACTTACTGTGAGTCAGTTTGTCGTGACCTTGGCATCTTGTATTCTTAAAGAATCTCCCCGAGAGGAGAAGAAACCATCTGCACCAGCACCAAAGCCTTCACCTCCTGCTCCCCCTGCTCCTGAGCAGAAGGTGGCTCCCCCTGCAGGTAGCCTGTTTATGCATGTTCCTCATCTTTGCTGACTCTTCATGAGTTGACCTTTTTGTCTTTGATTTTTTGTATTCTTCCTCTCTAAGTTGTTGGATTTTTTTAACATTAATGTGTGTATTATGCGTAAGTTTGCACTGACCAAGCTTATGGCTTCTTGGTCGTGACCTTGGCATCTTGTATTCTTAAAGTATCTCCCCCAGAGGAGAAGAAACCATCTGCACCAGCACCAAAGCCTTCACCTCCTGCTCCCCCTGCTCCTGTACAGAAAGTTGCTCCTCCTGCAGGTAGTTTCTTCGCTCACTTTTGTTATTGTTGTAAATGTTGTCTTTCTGTTTGGTTTCATTTGGTGGGTGACAATCGCCTCATGTTTGCTTTAACTTCACTGGCTGACTGTTGTTAGTCCTCTCTGGTGTCTCTACTGACCATATGGCAATCTTGGTCATGATCTTGGCATCTTCTATTATTATTTCCTTCAGAGGAAAAGAAACCATCTTCTCCAGCGCCGAAGCCTTCGGCTCCTGCTGCTCCTGCAGCCAAAGTTGCTCCTCCTGCAGGTACTTCTGTTACACCTCTGTTTGTTATTATAAAAATTCTCCATGTTGTCTTATTCTGTTTCTGTTTGAGTTACTGTTATCTTTGTTGCCCATGTAAACTTTTCTTCCATCTTAACATCTTTATATTGTTCTCTGTCTGTTCCAATTTGTTGGTACTTTCGTGTCTTCTCTCTTGGTCGTAACCGTTGATATTTTGTACTTCTAAGTGTCTCCTCCTGAGGAAAAGAAGGTGCCTCCACCAACAACCAAGCCAACAGCAGAGAGAGTGGTTCCCCCCGCAGGTAGTTTCCACTGCTTATCATTAATCTTACTGACTGTTCTGTTTGTCCTGCCTTTGAGAAATCTGTTGGGTCTTAACAACAGTGAATTCTGTAGTTTTATACGTTTCGTTCATCTGTTTGTCAGTTGGTTGTTGCTTGTTGACCAGATCTTTGCCAGTGATTTAATCATGTTGGCGTTCTTGTAGCTAAAGTTGCATCGTTGGAGAAGGAAGCTCCTGCACCAGCCGTAAAGGCTGAACCAGCTCCTGTATCAAAGGAAATCTCGCCGCCTGAAGGTAACATCTGTTCTTTCATGTATGCTCCTCTCTTATGTTTGTCTTCTACTTTGAAGCATTTTTAATGGCACAGCTTCTGTCTTCATACCAAACATATTTACCTTTTCTTTTAAAATGTGTTTCCTGTTTACATCTGTTGGTCTGTTTCTATACACAACAGTCCACTTCCACACTTTGATCCAATTCACTTCTTTAATATTAACACAATTTGCTGAATGAAGCCAAATGACCTTATAAAGGATGTTTAAACATCTGGGTGCATCATGTTTGCAGTAATAAAACGTGTTAAACAGCTGATGAACTTCCTGCTTCTTCTTAAAGCTCACTGTCTCTATTTCTGCAAAGTATTCTGCTGAAAGCTCAAAGCAGTAAAACAACCCCAAACACAGCTGCATGCCTCAAACAAATGAACCATCTTTGGCTTTGACTGAGCCTTTTGTCTAACTCTGTTTGCATTGTTTGTACTTATAATGATTTTATATAATTTTTTGCAGACAAGGAACCAGTGTCAGCACCTGGACCAACAAAAGGTATGCAAAACCTTTTTATTTCAAAGAAACAAAGCACAACCTGCTTCAATTTTTTGTAGCCTTTTAGGATATTTTAGTTTCATCTACATGTGTAAGTGTGATTCTGTGCTATACTGTAGAAAATATTTTATTATTTTCTGTGTTATTATGGTGATATTATAAAAGGTGCATTTGCTACCCAAACCACAGTGCCGTCTCTTAAGCAAAAGGGTAAGATTCCTGTTCAGGAGGCAAAAACACCCGAATCACCTAAGCTGAAGAGTAAGTTCACCAGAATACCGAAAGAGAACGAACCAGAACCAGAGGTCATTAAGCTGAAGAAGGTTCCAGTGAAACCTCCAGAGCCAGAGAAACAAGTCGTAACTCATAAGGCAGAAGTGACGAGGCATCACGATCCAGAGCTAGCAGTTCATGGGCTTCATGACAGGGATGATCGAGAGATAATCACACTTGGTAGAACTGAACGAGTATTCACTGCAGATGAGGAAACTATTGAGTTAAGCCATTTTGAGGAAATGGAAAGCCTTACAGTTGTGCAAAAACCAGAACCTGGCAAATGGACAAGAACCTTAAAACCTCAGAAAGACGAGGCACCGGAGGAGCCGCATGTCGCAAAGAAGAAAATAACTAAATTGCCAAAAGCAGATGAGCAAAAAGAATCAGTGAAACTAAAACCATTTGAAACATTTGGGAAACAAGATGCTGAATTACAAGCAATCAAACTAAAAAAGGTGCCACCTAAACCAAACGAGCCTGAAAAGGAAGTCATAACTCATAAAGTTGAAGTGACAAGGCATTATGATGCAGAATTAACAGTCCAGAAACTTCGTGATAGAGAGGATCGAGAGTTAGTAACTGTTGAGAGAAAGGAACGAGTTTTCACAGCAGCTGAAGAGACATCTGAACCCAGCTTTGCAGAGGAACCTGAAAAACTGGAGGCAGAAGATGAGAAATCAAGATGGGTAAGAGCCCCAAAAGCACCAAAAGAAGAGGAACCAGAGTCAGATTTAAATAAAAAGAAAATAAAAAAATTACCGAAGAAGGACGAGGACCAGGAAGTAGTTACACTGAAGCCATTTCAAAAACCCCAAAAACAAGAAGCAGCTGAACCTCCGAAGGCTGAGACAGGAGCTGAGGCAAAAACAGATACTGAGCGGAGTCCTTACATGAGAGGTGAGCTGCCACGAAAAGATCAACCTGCCGCTGCTGTAAAACACCAGAAAGATGATGACGATGCTCCACTGATGAATGACAATGCATCTCCACATATCAACGAAGACCAAAAGGAAATCCCACATAAGAAAAAGGTTGATCAAGTACCCAAAGATGTAGAAACTACAGCGGCCGAAAAACTCCGCAGAAAACCTAAAATTATTTCTACACCTGATAAAGAGAAAGAGCAGGTTGTGTTGAAACCATTCACTAAAATCACCAAGCCTGAAGAAAAGCCAGAAAAAGCATCAGAAGAGAAGAAGAAGCCTTTGGACACAAAGGTACCCAGTCAAGCAACTAAAGAGCCGAAGGAACAACTTAAGAAAGCTGAAAAGACTGTAACGCCTAAAAAAGACAACGAAATACCTCAGGAGAAGGAGAAACCAGCTGAGAAGCCCAGTCCTCCAGGTCAGAAAGAAGAAGAGAGACCGAGTCCTCCAAAACAAACCGATATCCTGAAGAAAAGTCCAGAAATCAAAAAGACTCCTTCACCCAAAGCCAAGATAAGTCAAGATAAGCCTGAAGAGGAAAAGCCCCTCAAACCTATTGAGCAGCTGAAGAAGGTTGAACTAAAAAAGACCCCATCACCCAAGATAGAGAAAATAAAGCCAAGTGAAGTGGAGCAAATTCCCATCGAGAAGAAGCCAAGTGGTGAAAAAGTCAAAAGGATTCCCAAGACTGTTTCGCCAAAAGACTCCACTGAATCCGTGACCCTCAAAAAGGTGCCCAAGAAGCCCTCACCAGAGGGGCCCTCAGAAAGGCCTGATACAGGGCGGATCCCTCTGGTGAAGGAGATCTCTCCTGGAGCTGTGGAGATGAAGCGGGTGACAACCCAGCCAGAGGAGGAGGTATGTGAAGAGGAGGGTGAAAAAATGGTAGCCGACGAAGATGAGGAGGTCTGGGACTGGGAGCTGGTTCCACCGGAAGACTGGGAAGGTGAAGGGGTGGATGGGGCGCTGGAGACTCCAGGCATGCCCGGCGCCAAGAGAGGTGAGGTGAAGGCCGGTGAACTCGTCCAGCTGATGACTCTGGAATCGCCTCATCCCATTTCAGACGATTCATCTAATCTTCATTACATCCAATTTTACGTTACATTATATATTTGTTCATCTGTTTGTCTGTCTGCTCATTGCCCATCCATCCTTTGTGATGTTTTTAAGTGGTCATCATCTTAAATCCGTCCTCAGTTGTGTCATCAGTCATTCGATGCTCATCTTCATCACTGTTTTTATTATTCACTGCAACAGTTTTTCCGTTTCCATCTCACCTTCATCCTCGTCACTGAACTTTTTTTTTTTACATGTGTGTAATTTGATGTTCAGCTGTGATCTGGATACGATCTTGAATCTTGGCTGTTAGTTTTGTTAACATCTTTATCTTGGTTTGTGTTGGAGACTAGGATGAGCTCTTGCAGTGAAGCTTAAAACTTGTCCTACTCTTTCTTGCTCAGATGGAAAACCAACAGAAGAGCCCGCGAAAGGCCGAGGTCGAGGATTTGGGGGTGAGAGCTCACTAACATTAGATCTCATCAGCACAAACCATTCGGCACTTTCATTTGCTTCATACACACTTGTAAAGCCAAAGTTGTTTTTTTTGTGTGTGTGTGTCTTTAGAACAAAACCAAAAATATATTTTATGTTACAATTTTAATTTTGAGTTCAAAGCTCGTTTCTGACTGACAGCTGTGTCTGTGTATCGTCGTGAGCATAAATCTAAAGCTTTTTTGTCCTGTGGGATTCGTTGTTTGTGTCGAATATGTTTATTCTTCACAGTAGGTTTAAGTCACAGTAGGTAGCTCACAGTTTCAAAGTAAGCTGCTGTCTAATTCGTCACTTGCCCCAACATCTGAATCAACAAGAGGAGTTTTTGTGTCTGATGTTGCAGCGAGACAAACTCCATCTCCTGGTGATGGAGGCAGGGGCCGGGGTCTAAAGCCAGGTGGAAAAGGCCCATCACCTCCCGAGGACCCATTTGGAGGATTCAAGCTCAAACCTGTCCAGCTGAAGTTCATTAAGAAGCTTAAGGACATTGTGCTGCAGGAAGCTGAGTCCATCGGCTCCTCCGCGGTGTTTGAGTGTGAGGTCTCGCCTTCCACGGCCATCACTTCGTGGATGAAAGATGACAGCAACTTGCGTGAGAGCCCCAAGCACAAGTTTACATCTGATGGCAAAGATCGCAAGTTGCACATTATTGATGTGCAACTATCTGACACTGGAGAATACACGTGTGTGGCTAAGAATGCGGGCAAGGAAATAACATGCACAGCCAAGTTAATTGTTGAAGGTAAACGATTGTTTTAATCCAACATCAATTTTTAAAAACTTATTTGACATTCATGAAAACACTTTTAATCACCTTTTTCCCACAGAGCTGCCTGTGAAATGGTTGAAGGAACTGGAACCAGAGACAACATGCATTAAGGGTCAGCCAATGTATCTCACCTGTGAGCTGAACAAAGAACGGGACGTCATTTGGAAACGTAACGGTCAGGTTCTGAAAACAAAGGCTGGAAAAGTGGCCGTTAATGTAATTGGCATGCAGCATGCTGTGACCATCCAGAACTCCACCGATGAAGATGGCGGCGCCTACACCTGTGAGGTCGATGGACAGGAGGACGTCAAGACTACAACTAACGTCAAAGTTATTGGTAAGAAGTCTGCAGAGCATGGTAGCAATGAAACAAGATAAATACAGTCATTGTGCCGTCCATCGTTCAGGGTGAGGGTTGTATGGAAGCCCCAAACGCAATTTCATTGTTCTTGACAATGACAATAAATAAATACTATACTACTATACTATACTATACTACAAGCTGGATTGGTCCCAGGCTGAAACTGTCCCCCAGCAGTTAAAAACCAATATGAAGGGCAGCTACTATGAACAGTAGAGCTTGTATTTATGCACCATTTAAGGCCTAAGTTGATCCCTGTTTGAGTTGCCTTATGCTGCACCAAAGAAAACAGACCATGGCACAACCAAAATTACTGTGACGGTGTGCAGTCTCATTGTTCTGGCAAAGATGGCTGCTCAAAGACGGGAACCCGTCTCCATCTTTAATCTGACCTTGATGCATCAAGATGGCAATAAAGCTGCACTAGGACGGCGTCAGTCTGCACACTCAAGCTCTCTTGCAGCCAATCTACCAATCCAGTGAACCAAAGATTTTCCCTAGTTACACAGAAGTCGTTGTCATATTTCTTTAGTGTGACTGAGGCATAAGAGTGTGTCTTGTTGAGCAGTTTTCCACTGTAGGAACAAATATAATGTGAACCCTTCCTCCTCAGAAACCATCAAAGACTGGCTGGTGAAGCCTCTGAGAGACCAGCATGTGAAACCAAAGGCAAAGGCCACCTTCAAGTGTGAGCTGTTCAAGGACACGCCCAACTGGAAGTGGTTCAAAGGAGAAAACGAGCTTACTCCCTCTGACAAGGTCGAGATCAATAAAGATGGAAAGGACATGACGCTCAGCATCAATAACTGCCAGCCTGATGATGTATCAGACTACACCATCCAGGTGGAGGATCGCAGATATACAGCCAAGCTGACACTTGGAGGTTGGTGTATCCACGTTGGGAAAGCATGAGGACCACGCTTTTCCAATCGCAAAGATTTCTAACTCTAACTTTCTTTGGGTGCTTTCAGAGCGTGAGGCTGAGATCCTGAAGCCACTCTCCAGTGTGGAGGTGGTTGAGAAGGAAGAGGCCAACTTTGACTCTGAGATATCAGAGGACGATGTGGCCGGTGAATGGAAGCTGAAAGGCCAGGTGTTGACTAGATCTCCGGTAAGATATTTAACAATGCTTTGTCTCAGAGTAAATTATTGGAGATAAATATCTGAATTTCAGGAGCGGGACCACGCCTCCAAACATGCTCCGTCCAGTTCTCGTCTATATAGGTTCCCCCAGTTCACCAAGCTGTTCCTTCTCGTTTCCGTGCCCCACCCTCCCTCCGCTTTTCAAGTCTTCACTTCTATTTAGTGCACGGGGATCTGCCAGGAGCCGTCGGCCCTTTGAGGCCTTCCCCAAACCGCAGCTCAGTTCATGCTCTAGCATCACTTTTACCTACTAATGTGCTGTCAAACCTAAAATGAGGACGTGGGCCCAGCTAGTGAGATAGCAGCTAAACGTGAGCTCATCGCAGGACTCAGGCCACTCGAAACCACAAATGAGAAGATCATATACTTCTGTGCTGTAGTAAATTTAGTAGCCTGCATGATTTGGGTTCATAGAAATGTGAATAGGGAAGTAGCACTCATGCCTCTTTGTTTTGCAGACCTGTGACATTAAAGCTGAAGGCAAAAAACGTTTCCTCACACTGAAAAACGTGCAGCTGGATCAGGCTGGTGAAGTGACATACCAGGCTCTGAACGCCGTCACCAGCGCTATGCTCACCGTCAAAGGTACGGATTTACCAAAGACAAAACTTCCCCTGTTGTAACCTGCTGCATTTTGTTGGTCATGGAAAACTGTTGCAGAGCAAACACGGTAAGAGAAGCTGTGGTTGTGTCTTTGTTTCTGTTATTAATTGCCAAATCGTTCGCACCTCTCAGAAATCGAAATGGGCTTTGTTGACCCGCTCAAGGACCTTTCTGTGCCTGAAAAGAAGCAGGCTAAGTTTGAGTGCACCATCACTAAGGACGTGTCAAAGGTCATATGGTTCAGGGGGACAGAGATTGTCACTCCAAGCCCTAAATATGAAATAATTGATGACGGAAAGAAGCACATGCTGATCATAAACAGCTGTGAGTTTGATGACGAGGCTCAGTACACGATCGAAGCGTTGGGTCAGAAATCAACGGCTCAGCTGATGGTGGAGGGTAAGTGGCAAAGAGAAGCGCCACGCTTCATGTTGTTCATGTTTCCTCTGTGAGCTCGTTCAGTGGCCAATGTCTGTCTGCGCTGACTCGATGTATTCCAGGCATGAGGCTGAGTTTTGTCCAGCCGCTTCAGGACCAAACGGTCAAAGAAGGTAACGCGGCACGCTTTGATCTCGAGCTGTCTTATGAGGACGTGCCAGTGGTCTGGTACCGAAACGAAGTCAAACTCCACGTGAGCCGAACGGTTCTCATTCACGTGGAAGGAAAGAGACACACTCTAGAAATGAGGACGCTGAGTCTAGATGATACCTGCCAAATTAAGGCAGAGGCTAAAGGCATTTACTCCATGGCCAAGCTGACGGTCGTAGGTAACTGCGCTCCCTCGTTTCCTTTTCACTTCTGTTTCACAGTAGCGTGACTTACATGACTCACTTTTTGCATTGTCATATTGTATACTGCATTACAAGACTGCTATTCACAGAGAAAAATTATGAAAATCTACAAATTATTTGTAATAAACCAAAACTTCCTGTCTGCTCCAGAGGGCGACCCCATCTTTGTGGTGAAGCTACAGGATTACTCAGCCACCGAGAAAGAAGAGGTGACCCTGGACTGTGAACTGAGCAAAGACGTCCCGGTGCTTTGGTACCACGAAGAGAAGGAAATCATCGCCTCCAAGATGGTCATCATGAGGTCAGAGGGCACACGCAGGTCTCTGGTCCTGAAGAAAGTGGAACTGAGCGACAAAGGCAAATATGTATGTGACTGTGGAACAGACAAGACGTCAGCCAACATCAATATTGAAGGTAAGCACGGTGACATGATTGCCTAAATTCTTTTAAACATAAAAATCAGTTGAATCATAAATTAATCGTAAAGCTGTCTAAGATTTACAGGTTGCTAGGTCAAAATAAACCCGTAAAACGTTAAATGTTCAAGCCTTTCACTGCACAAGGAAACATGACTCCAAAGGGAGGTCCAGGCCTCGTCAGCCTAGTGAGCGACCCCGTAGCAACCTCACGTCTCTAGGAAAAAATGCACATCTCCACACCGGTTTGGGAATGACACATCGATGCCTGCAGTTCACATCAAACACAGCAGCTTCTCTGCAAACGCTCACTGAGCAGCAGTAAAACCTCAGAAAGAGATGCAAAGAGCATTTAAAAGTTGTGCCTCACTGCTGAAATCCCCACAACACTAAAAATGAATGAAAAATAAAAACTTTGAAGGCGAGCGTTCACAGTTTCCAGTTTTTTTTAACTTTTCATGGTGAGCTGTGGGCGAGTTTGCAGCAGAGTCAGCATCTTCCATGGGAACTGCAGGAAACCATGGCAACGTGACCCAAAAATCACTCGGCAACCAGAATCCACATTTTCCCCTAGCGACTGACTGAGGCCGCCGAGACTGTGTATGAGGACAGATGATGGATTTACTTTCTTTAAATCAAAATAAAAAAGCACTTTGGATTAAAATGAGAAATCCGAGGGAACAAACTGAAACCGATAGTTTCCAGTTCTTCCATTTTTTGTTGTTTAGCTGTAAAATCAGTCCTTTCTTCCAGAAGCAAAACAAACTGCATTTTCATATCGTGACCCTTTTTCCCAAAAGCACGCGACATCAAAGTCGTTCGGCCGATTTATGGCGTGGAGTTGTTTGATGGAGAAACGGCTCGTTTCGAAGTGGAGATCTCTGAGGACGACGTCCACGGACAGTGGAAGCTGAACGGAGCAGTGCTCAGTCCGTCCTCTGTGAGTGCTTCATCACAAGCGCCTCATTGGCAGCGCTCTCCATAACATGAAGCCAGTTTATCAGACTGTTTACGTCTTTGTTTAACAGGATGTGGACATCATCGAGGAAGGAGGCAAGCACACGCTGATCCTCTACAACTGCAAAGTGTCCATGACCGGCGAGGTGGCGTACTCTGCTGCTAACGCCAAGTGCGCCGCTAACCTCAAGGTCAAAGGTAAACCAGCCCACTGACCTCATCATATTTCATAAAAAACATTTTAAATCATTGTAACCTAAAAATGTGAAACTAAAAATGAGAGCGTCTCATAGAATAAGCCAGCGGGGGATCGCAGCAGTTCAATCAAACCTCCGTCTGAGCTTCACCTTCTCAGGTCTGACTTCTCATCAGACTTCATCTCCACTGAACAAAGACACCATATATAAAAACGTCAATACTTTTACTCTGTGTTCGTTACTGTCACAGTTTGGGGCTCGTTATGACGACAGGAATCCTCTAAAATGAACTATACTGATAATTATGATTATCTAAATTCAACTAGGAGCCTAAGTTTTTCTGTTTTTCTCACTGTTTTTCTTCAGAACTCCCGCTGAACTTCCTCACACCCATGACTGATGTTCAGGTCTATGAGAAGGATGATGTGAGGTTCGAGGTCGAGGTGTCGAGAACTCCAAAGACTTTCCGTTGGCTCAAAGGCTCACAGGAGCTGCAGAGCGATGAAAAGTACGAGGTGATCCAGGAGGGAAATTTGTACGTCCTGGTGATCCGATCGGCCGCCTACGATGACGAGGCAAAGTACATGTTTGAGGCCGAGGACAAGAGGACGACGGGCAAACTGGTTATACAAGGTAACGTCGTGGTTGTATTCATTTTTTTTAAACTCCTTTGGCACCAGTGAAACCTTCAAAGAGTCAGGTCACATTATAATCATATGTTCACATTTAGATCAAATTATTACAGTTTTAAATTTGCCAAATAAACACTTCTGTCCAAACCTTCTCCAGATGAATCCAGTTTGGCAGATTTTTACCTCTGCTTTGTCTTCTGGTTCGGTTCACTTTGAACTAGAGATGGCATGATACCACTTTTTCATGTCCGATACCGATATCATAAATTTGGATATCTGCCGGTACCGATATGAATCCGATATAGTGTTTTTAATCAATAAAACTGTTTTTTAATATCTTGCTGCTTTTTGTATAAGTTCATACTCAAGTTAAAAAAAACACTAAAGCTATTCTGTTATACTGTATGTAAAAAAAACACACTGCACCCAAAATATTTCATAGTTCAGCAAAACTGATCAAGCTAATAAACTTAAACCTGCTCCATCCTCCCTATTCTGGTGTTTTAAAGAGAACTTAGCAGAAATATTAAGCAACCTAACTAACAGGGCTGCAAACTCCCAGAAAAAAAAAATAGGGAACCACCCTCCACCTCATGATGCTTAATCGACGTAATCAACTTTAATTTGATGCAGTGTGAAAAAAATGCACAGAAATAAATTATTTTTCAAGAATAATTAAATAGATTCAACATCTTTCTTCAACAGAACTGCAGACTGCACAGATGGTTCCCAAAGGAAAAAGTACTATAGCTTACTAGGGTATATTAGACTTAATAGTTACTATATACAGTGTTACGTTCCCCTGAGGGGTCTAGGCGGTGAGGGGGGAGTAACAAAAGTGACCGGGTCAGAAAAAGGAGTCAAGGAGGCAAAAGGGTAAATTAAAGAGTTTTATTAAAGTTATTCAACTAAAAGAGACGGACAAGCCGTTATCACCATAAAACACCAACAAAACTCAGGCGTTGGTCAAATAAAGCAAAAAGTCAAAAGGAAAGCGCAGCTCACTAGCTGGAAACCACTCTACTGGCACTCTGGCCCAGAGCTCACCCTGCTCTGGGCTTAAATACCCTTAATTGCTGATGGGAGTCAGCTGTACAGGAGGGAAAGGTGGCATCTCAGGCAGGGGAGGTAGTGGGACACGCCCACACAGGCACCCTCAGGAGAGAGAGAGAGGCTAGGGCCGTAACAACAGTAATGGACTTCTATACATTTTACATCAAATTAAAACTTTGGGTGTCAGATTCAGATAATTATTAAATGCTCGACATTTTAAATGAGAATAAGAAAGAAAAGTATGTCTTTGTGCCCCTTTTCCCTGTTAATGCCCTATCGGCCCCCCTGGCTAAACTTTGCTAGCTCCGCCCCTGCACAGTTACCAGCCGTCAGCTGTAGAAAAAGATCCTGGTGTAGAAATTAATATTAAATACATTCTAACAACAGCTTATCAAGGTTAAACGTGCTGCTGCTGTTCAGCCGCTGGTTTCCTCTTTCTGGTGCAAAGTGGGCCAAAAACAAACAACAGAGAGGGACTCCCGACAGAAAAGCCGATCAGCTGATCATTGATCAGTTTCATGATTGAAGTAGCAGCAAGAAGAGGCAGTCGCTCCATATATCGGTTGTTAAGCTTAACGCTGGAATGCTTTACAAACACTCAGAGATGAACTTACACACTAGCTTTACTTCTCTGGGATCACTTCCTCGGAGATGAAATGCCAGTTTGGTAGCGAGGCTACAAACACACACAGCTGCTCCAACGTGCTAGGTTACGAGCCCAGTGTCACACGTTTTGTGAGGTGTTTTTTTGATATCTAATGGATCGGATTACATTTTTTATTTCTCTCCGATATCCGATCCAGTAATTTAGGTCAGTATCGGATCGATACGTAATATCGGATCGGTCCATCTGTACTTTGAACACAGCGCTGGTGCTCATTTTTGTTTGTTTGTGAGTCACAAATACAAATCTGCTGTGTTCTGCTTCTACTCAAAGTTAAATGTACCAATGTCTGATGTCTTCCTGTGGCAGGTATTCGCCTAGAGTTTGTCAAAGCAATCAAGGATGTGACAGTAAAGGAGCGTGAAACAGCTGAATTCAGCGTGGAGCTGTCACATGACAAGATCCCGGTGGTCTGGTACAAGAACGACGTCCGACTTCATCCCAGCAAAGTTGTTCACATGTCGGCACAGGCGAAGGTTCACACGCTGGCCTTCAAGGAAGTCATCATCGACGACACGTCCATGATCAAAGTAGAGGCCATGGACAAGAGCATGACCGCCATGCTCACTGTCATCGGTCAGTGCCTCCTTTCTAAAGCACATTGAAACAAATGACATAAAAACATAGGACCAGATGACAGGACTTTAGAAAGAACAAACATTAAAGCAATCACAACTCATTCTGATTTAAAAGAAAAAGAAAAAGAAAACAGGTGTAAACAAAGCAAACAGAGCAGGTGACAGCAAGCCACACCCACCAACATCCAAGAGTTCATCCTGTCAGACTGATTCAGACACGCTTCTCTGACGCCTGATTTTCATAATGAACATACGTTTCCCCACACAGAGGGTGATGCCTACTTCACCACTAAGCTGCAGAACTACACGGCAGTGGAGAGGGACGAGGTGAAGCTGGTCTGCGAGCTGAGCAAGGCTGTAGCTGATGTGAAATGGTTTAAGGATGGGAAGGAGATCACCCCCTCCAAGAACATCGCCATTGTCACCGATGGCAAGAAGCGCATCCTGATGGTGAGGAAGGCAGAGAAGACCAACATCGGAGAGTACACCTGCGACTGCGGCTCGGACAAAACCACAGCTAAGCTCAACATTGAAGGTAAACCATGGATCTGTCCCAGCTCTCATGCTTTATGCATGCTGCTTCTCTGAAAATCTCTGAACACGTTCAGTTTTTAGCTGTTGGTAAAAGTCCATGTAAATACAATCAGTCTGACCTTTGACCTGACAAACAGAAACCAAAGTGTTTGGTAACGTGCTGAGACGGTAATAAACGGATCATTTGGCATCTGTAGCCGTCGTATCTGGATATGTGCTTTGTTAGTTACAGTTCAGCTGTTTGAAGACCTTTGACGTGAACATAAATGATGTTTTGTTCTGATAAGCACAGAGGTCACCAGGCTGTCAGAGCTTTGTCAGCATTTATCTCTCTCTATAGAAATGTTGGAGAGGAGCACCGGTTGGGTTTCTTGGTGGATCCTCAGCTTTGTAGATTAGAGCCTCATCATTGGCGAAGTTAAATTTGACTGCTTTAACAAACAGGCGCTCCACGGGTGAAGATGTTGCTGGTTTTTATAGTGATTTCTGTCCTTTTGCAGAGCGGGATATCAAAGTTGTCCGTCCGCTGTACAGTGTGGAGGTCACGGAGACAGAAACAGCCAAGTTTGAGACGGAGATTTCTGAGGAGGATGTCCATGGAAACTGGAAGCTGAAGGGAGAAGCTCTTCATCAGTCAGCTGTGAGTCTGCAGTGACCCGCCTGGCAGTCGGTTTCATATTCATCGCCACAGAGATGCTTTCAGCTGACTTTCATGTGCTCGTGTTTACCTCAGGATGTTGAGATTAAGGAGGAAGGAACCAGACACCTGCTGATCCTCTACAACGTCTGCATGGGCATGGCAGGACCCGTTGACTTCTCTGCAGCCAACGCCAGATCCAGCGCCCAGCTCAGAGTCAAAGGTCAGAGGTCATTTTAGCCCTTATTTTTTAAACGATGGACAAAACGTCTCTGACACGGAGGAAGCTCCGTGCCGTTTGGCTGAAGCACACACAAACAGCAGCCCTGGTTTCTGTCACACACGGGTGTCGCACGTCTCTGTAAGTGTTCAGCCAATCAGGGCCTGTGGTTATTTTCACCACTTCAGTCTTTATCTGAAGGCAGGCTGCTCTCTGATTGGAGCAGCAGTAACCTGAAACACGAACCAGACCACAGGATCTCCAGCAAGTGCACGCCGGTTCATTTGTTGAAGGAGCTAACCATGTCTTTACCCTCAGCTCGGTCCATTACGCTGGTCCATCCTCTGAAGGACGTGACGGTGACGGCTGGAGAGACGGCCATCTTTGAGTGCGAGCTGTCGTACGAGGGCATCGCGGTGGAGTGGTTCCTGGGAGGGCAGAGGATGGAGGCCAGCGACCGGGTGAGTCTGACCACAGCAGCGCCGGCCTCTCCTGTAACTCGCTCCACACCGGAGAAACCGCTCACAGAGCTTTTCCTCCTTTTTAACAAAATGTTTCTCACTCATAAAACTTCTACTTCACCACAAAAGAAGAAGGAAAAGAAATGGGACGACAGAAATAAAGAAAGTTAGTGTGGATCCAGTAAAACACTAAAAAATAACAGAGCGTTACTTTTATTAAGTCTTGAGAATTTTAGCGATTTCCTGCAAAAAACCGAGTCGGTGCAAAAAGAAATGATTTCATAGTTTCTGTTGTGATCACACAAACAGCATTAATGAAATACTATCTTTGTGATAAGAAAGCTTTGCTTATATGTTTTGTATTTCTGTTCTCACATTTGTAACATTTTCACTCCAGATTTGGAAACTTTTCTCTTTGGTTAGAAAATCCGAGCATACAAACCTTCTTTAGTGTGATTTAAAATGTGAGATGGGAACTTTTAGTGGAAACAGGTTTTCTTCAGGCACAAACAGACCTGCACTGAGTCTGTCACACGTCTGATTTTAAACAATCGCCATCAGGACACGTTTACGGTCGCCGGGCTCTGATTTGTTCCTGTCTCTGAGCAACAAAGCTGAGTTTTAAAAGAATGTCAAAATCTGAATCCCAGTTTGGATTATGAAGAAAAGACACGAGTTTTGTTTTGCAGATGAGGACAAGTTGTCTTTGTGATGTTTGATGTTTCTCTGGTTCTGCAGAGGCTGCAGCTAAAAATATCTGGGAGATAAACATGCGGCTCTTATCTGTGACTCTGACCCTCGAGTGTCGCCTTATCTGCACAAAGACCTCAGATTCTTTCATCTCCATTAAATAAACAAATGTTTCTCAGCAGGTCGAGGTCATTTTGTGTTCCTGGTAGTTTCTAAACATATTACATGTGCTTGAATTAATAATCATGTTTTGCATTATAAGGAATGCATCAGCCAAACTAAATCTGCACCACTCGACCATCATTTGTTCGAACGAAGATTCCCCTCAGATGCTGTTTTCACTGTTTAACTCTTAGAGCACCAGATCCTCTCCCTGCTCACCTTTACTCATCGTCCTTTTGTGACTCTCTCTGTTATTTTTCTCTGAGAAAATCCTCAAAACACACCAAGTCCTGCCGTCTGAAGTTGCCTGTAGCTCTTCCTTTGTATTTCCTCTCCCATCACACTGTTTTTCTGTTTTCCAGCTTCCCTCTGTCACTGATATCTCAGATCTCAGCTGTAAGTCAAAAGCTTCTACCTGGACCCCGTTCCTACCGTTTGGGTCAAAGCCTGTCTACCCTCTCTGCTTCCCCTCATATCTGCTCTCATCTGCTCCTCACTACCACTGGAGCTGTTCCCAAAGCTGCGGTGATCACCCCAATACTGAAAAAAAAAACAGGATCCCAGTAATTTTGATCATTTCCGTCTCCAATTGACCATTTCTATCAAAACTTCTTGAAAAGACAGTCGCCGCACAACTCCACTCATACTTCACTAATAATAATCTGCATGAACAGTTCCAGTCTGGTGTTCGTCCCTCCCACAGCACTGAAACTAATAAAAATACTCACTGATCTTCTCGTGGCAGCTGACTCTGGTTTACTCTCCATTCTTATTCTCCTCGATCTCACTGCTGCCTTTGATACTCCTCAGTAGGCTCGCCTCCATCGGTCTCTCCCATATCCCACTAGCTTTAAATCGCACTCAGTTTATTCGACTTAAATCCTTCACTTCTCAGCCCTTTCCTCTGGTTGCAGGCGTGCAGGGATCTGTCCTGGGGCCCCTTCGTTTCATTATCTAGCTTCTTCCGCTTGGACACATTTCACTGCTATGCCGATGACACCCAGCTGTATCTGTCCACTAAACCTGATTCTGCTCTCCTCCGTCCTCTCTCACCCTCTGCTTAGCTGAACTAAATTCATGGTTCTCTTCCAATTTTCTCAAACTCAACAGTAACAAATCCTCCTGGTCGGCACTAAACAAACACTGTCCACAACTAACAGCTTTTCTGTTACAGTCTCCGTTTCTCCATGTGTGAAAAGTCTGCGTGTCATCGGCGATGGTACTCGATCTTTTAGCTCCCACATCAGTAACGTCTCTCGGTCCGCATATTTCCAACTCCGTAACCTTAATCGTCTCCGTCCTTTTCTCGCCCCACATGCCGCTGCCATCCTTGTTCATAGCCCGGTCACTTCCCGGATCGATTACAGCAACTCTCTTCTTTTTGGTCGTAGTCAAAAATCTATCCATCAGCTTCAACGTGTCCAGAACTCTGCTGCTCGTATCATCACCAGGACTCTTTCTATGGTAAATGGCCTGTATTTATATAGCGCTTTACTAGTCCCTAAGGACCCCAAAGCGCTTTACACATCCAGTCACACACACATTCACACACACATTCACACACTGGTGATGGCAGCTACATTGTAGCCACAGCCACCCTGGGGCGCACTGACAGAGGCGAGGCTGCCGGACACTGGCGCCACCGGGCCCTCTGACCACCACCAGTAGGCAACGGGTGAAGTGTCTTGCCCAAGGACACAACGACCGAGACTGTCCAAGCCGGGGCTCGAACCGGCAACCTTCCGATTACAAGGCGAACTCCCAACTCTTGAGCCACGATCGCCCATGCATCACATCAGCCCTGCTCTGCAGCAGCTTCACTGGCTTCTGGTTAAATCCCGCATCAATTTCAAGATACTTTTGTGCACATTCAAGGCTACCCATCATCTCTCGCCTTCATACCGCTCTGGTTCAGATCACCGTCCCTTCCCCCCGGCTAGCCACCGTGGGGCGCAGGGCTTTCTGCTGCTCTGCCCCCCATCATCCCTTCCTCCTGAGATAAGAAACATCACTTCCCTCCCTCTTTTTAAGTCCAGACTCAAACTTCTACATAAATGTTTCCATCCTGCTACTTTCATTTATTTTATTTATTTGTTCAATGTTTTATCCTTATTATCTTGTAAATTGTTATGTTTGTTGTTGTTATTGCTTGTGTACAGTGTCCTTGAGTGCTTCGAAAGGCGCTTTGTTAAATAAAACAATTATGATTATGATTATTATTCCATCCATCCATTCGCTTCGGCTTGTCACGGGGGCGCTGGAGCCTATCCCAGCGGTCATAGGGCGAGAGGCGGGGTACACCCTGGACAGGTCGCTAGTCTGTCGCAGGGCTGACACACAGGGACAGACAACCATTCACTCCCACATTCACACCTATGGGCAATTTGGATTCATCAATTAACCTATCCCCACAAACTATTATTATTATTATTATTATTATTATTATTATTATTATTATTATTTATTTATGTATTTATTTATTTATTTATTTATTTATTTATTATGACGTTTTTTCAGAATTTTAAATTTTTGGATATTTTTGAACAGTGTTTTTTAGCAGGTGAGTGTCTGAACCCAAATAATGAATTAATAAAGCTTAATTATGAATTAAACATCACGAATTAGTTTTATTTAAAAACACAAAGGAGTTGAATTCATTGCTGGAGAAAATGAGGTTAAAGTGGAAAAAGCAGCCCAGTGATAGAAACCTGCCCGTGTGTGAAAGAGAGCAGCTCGATCAGCTGAATAATAAATTAGTAAAGTGAAATTTATTCTGTTGATATGACCAAAGGTTTTCACTCATTTCTAAAAACACATCTGCAGAAAATTCTTAAATATTTTATTATGATGTAGCTTCTCAAAGTGAATCAAGGCTGGAAGTTTGTGGACAATAAAAAATAAAAATGGTATTTTTCCCTGATTTCATCAGTTTGACACTCGGAGTTATTCAGTCATCGCTCAGACTCGCCGCCTGTTAGCAAACGAACCAGAATAAGTGTAATTATTATTTATAATGATTATTTAAGTGACGGCCCTGTATCTGTGTCCATGGTGACGCGTTCAGCTCGTGTTCGTGTGTAAGTGTAACGCTCGTTTTGTTTTCGGTTCCTGCAGGTGAAGACTCGGGTGGCGGGCCGAGTTCACACTTTGACCGTCCGAGACGTGAACCTGTCGGAGGCCGGCGAGGTCAAACTTACTGCCAAGGACTTCCAGACTCAGGCTCAGCTTATCGTCAGAGGTACGGCACGCGCTCAGACCGGGCTCCGAGGATCGAGGACAAAGCATTTCTAACAGGAGGCTGTTAACCACGTCTGTCTCTGTACCTTTAGAGCCAGCGGTTGAGTTCACAAAGCCTCTGGAGGATCAGACGGTGGAGGAGGAAGCCACGGCCACTCTGGAGTGTGAGGTTTCCCGTGAGAATGCTGAGGTACGATGGTTCAGGGAGGGACAGGAGCTCAGAAAGACCAAGAAGTACGACACCATCGTGGACGGACGCAAGAGAGCTCTGATCATTCACGACTGCTCTCCTGAAGATGCCAAGTTGTACACATGTGATGCCAAAGACTTCAAGACTTCTTGTTTCCTGGAAGTTACACGTAAGGACCTTAACCAGGCTTTAATCTTTCAAATCTGCTGTCGCACCTCCAGCTGAGGTAAAGCATAACTGTGCTCATGCTGTGGCCTTTTCCATTCACAGCTCCGTATGTTGAGTTTACAAAGCCTCTGCAGGATGTTGAGGTCAGAGAGAAGGAGTCTGCCAAGTTTGAATGTGAAGTTTCTCGTGAGTCTGCCAAGGTGAGCTCAGCAGGATGCAAACAGTCGCTGCTGTCCTGTCGATCAGACTGAAACCGCTCTCACGCTCTCGACTAACTCTTGTGTCGTCATTTTTCAAGGTTCGCTGGTTCAAGGACGGTGGCGAGATCAGGAAAGGAAAGAAGTACGAGATCATCGCAAAGGGAGTCCAGAGAATCCTTATCATCCACAAGTCTGTGTTTGATGATGAAGCCGAGTACGAATGTGACGCGAGAACCTCCAAGACCTCTGGCATACTCACCGTCATCGGTGAGGAACATTATTCATCTATTTCAGGGGTAGGCAACTCCAGGCCTCGAGTGCCGGTGTCCTGCAGGTTTTAGATGTGTCCATAATCCATCACAGCTGATTTAAAGGGCTAAATGACTCCTCAGCATTTCTTGAAGTTCTCCAGAGGCCTGGTAATGAACTAACCATGTGATTCAGGTGTGTTGACCCAGGGTGCAATCTAAAACCTGCAGGACACCGGCACTCGAGGCCTGGAGTTGCCCACCCCTGATTTATTTCATGTGTTTGATTCATGTTGAATTTCCAGTTTCACCAAGCTTCCAATGAGAAAAAAAGTGACGTTTTTATTCATGTCAGCCACAGATGTTTGTTCTGCTGGAAAATAAAACGTCATTCACTGATGACGGTCAGCTTTCTAACCACTGCAGGAAATTTCTCTGCTGAAGAAATATTCTTGTAAAAACTATAAACATATGATTTTAGGCTCGACTTAATAGATGGATATTTCTCTGTAAATGAACTCCTGGTGCTCGTGTTTCCTTCAGAGGAGGCAGCCAGGTTTACAAAGAACCTGTCCAACGTGGAGGGAACAGAGACGAACACCGTGAAGATGATCTGCGAAGTGTCGAAGGCCGGCGCTGAGGTCACCTGGTATCGAGGGGACGAGGAGCTCCCAGAGGGAGGTCGCTACGACCAACAGACGGACGGACGCAAGAGGATCCTGATCATCCGGGACCTGAGGATGGAGGACGCTGGTGATTACAACTGCAGGCTGAGTCCCACCATCAGGACATCCGCCACGCTCAAACTCAACGGTAAAACACGTTGCTTACTTTTTGATTTTATAGAAGAAACTGAAGTCACCAATTACCTACCCGAGTCATTATCTTTCTAAAGTATTTTCTTTGTAATGATTTCAAAAGCAATCTGAAGAGCAAAACAAAGAACGTGGAGAAATCCACTAATCCACCAAACCTTAACTCCGCCTTCTTCTCCTTTGCAGAACTGGCAGCCGAGTTCCTCGCTCGGCCTCAGAGCCAGGAAGTGGTGGAGGGCGAGAAGGCAGAGTTCTCCTGCTCTGTCTCCAAAGACACCTACGAAGTAAAATGGTTCAGAGGAGACAAAGAGATAGAAGCTGGAGACAAGTACGGCATCATCAGTGAAGGAAAACGAAGAGCTCTTATTGTGAAAAGCTGTGAGCTGAAGGATGAGGGAGGCTACACTGCACACATTGGCACTGTTAAAGCCGTGGCAGATCTGCTAGTGATCGGTAAGACACTTATTGTCTTTGTCATATCTTATTACAGATTTCAGAATGCAGGTTTAGTTTTATTAAGTTTGAATTCTGTTTTAGAAAAACTGAGGATCATAACTCCGATCAAAGACACCGAGGTGAAGGAGGGAGGCGAGATCGTTTTTAACTGCGAGACCAACACGGAAGGAGCGAAGGCCAAGTGGCTGAAGAATGAGGAGACCATTTTTGAGAGCAGCAAGTACATGATGGCTCAAAGGGACAACGTCTTCTCTCTGAGGATCAGAGACGCCCAGAAGGCTGATGAGGCCGTCTATACCGTCAGCCTGACCAATCACAGAGGAGAGCTCGCCAAGTGCACTGCCAGCGCTAAAGTGGCAGGTGAGTGGGCAGTAACAGTACCTGAGTGAAGTTACAGGCTGGATTTGACTCTTTAATGAAACCAGGGCCAGCTTCCTGAGTGCTGAGTGCTTCTTTAGTTGTTCTTGTGACTCTACTGTACACACAGCCTTATTTTATTATCTGTATATGGCTCACAGTAATGTTGAAACATATTTAGGAGTTTATACAACGGCTGTCTCAAATATGTTTAATATTATAGCACCTTTTGGCAGGTCAGTGTCCTAAACCTGTTCTCAGTAATCGCAGACGTGACTCTGAAAGACAGATGGATGTGTCAGCTTTGTTATAAAGCAAAGAAAGCTGAAAATCATCTGAAGAATTCAGAATAACTGAAGTTCTGTTTCTTCCAAGAGTATCAGGACGTTTGATCTAAAGCAGCCGTTTCTTGCTCAGTGCTTTGTTGCACGTCCTCCTTTGTTTCTTTACGTTCACCCTGAAATCATTTGGTCCTCCACAGAGGAGAAACTGAGGTTCTTGGAGCCCATCGAGGACAATGACACTCAGGAGAAGAAGACCGTCAGCTTCGTCTGTAAGGTGAACAGGCCCGGGGCGACGGTGAGGTGGCTGAAGGCTGGTCAGGAGGTGACACTCAGCAAACGCATCGTCTACAGAGTCGATGGCCTGAAGCACAGCCTGACCGTTAAGGACTGCATCATGGAAGACGAGGGCGAGTACACGGCCGTGGTCGGAGATGACAAATGTGCAGCTGAGCTGATCATTAGCGAGGCACCCACAGACTTCACGGCACAGCTCAAAGACCAGACCATTACAGAGTTCGAGGATGCAGAGTTCACTTGCAAGCTGAGCAAGGAGAAGGCTGCCGTTAAGTGGTACAGGGAAGGACGAGAGATTCGAGCGGGCCCCAGGTATGACAGATCTGCATCTGCTGTTGTTTCGATCCAAAGGAACACAAATCAAATGCTAATCAACCAAGAAAATATTCAGAAAGTTAAAATTTGGGATACGTGGTCATGACAGAGGATTACAAAAGCCTGAAGCTTCTGGGACCTTGTGTTACCTTTGATTTAAAATAAAGTGCAGTGGTGTACAGAGGCAAAATTACACAGCTGATGCTATTATCTAAGTCTTATAGTATCATATACATGACTGTACCAAGTTCCTGATGTTTGTTGTGTTTTTACAGATATCAAATGGAAAAAGAAGGAAAGACGTGCAGACTGATCATTAAGGTGTGCAGGCCTGATGACGAGTGTGAATATGCCTGTGGTGTGGATGAGAGGAGGACGAGAGCGAGGCTCTTTGTTGAAGGTGAGATGTTTGTTTCTTTTTGTCTTCAAAAGCAAAGATTTATTCGATGAATCTTCTTGTGAGATGTGTTTTTATGTTGCGCAGAGACCCCAGTGGAAATCATCAGACCACCGCAGGACGTGTTCGAACCTCCGGGTTCAGACATCGTGTTTGAGGTGGAGCTCAACAAAGACAGGGTGGAGGTGAAGTGGATGAGGAACAACATGATCATCGTCCAGGGAGACAAATACCAGATGATCAGCGAGGGTAAAGTCCACAGACTGCAGGTCTGTGAAATTAGACCCAGAGATCAGGGAGAGTACAGGATCGTGGCCAAAGACAAGGATGCCCGGGCCAAGCTGGAGCTGGCAGGTGAGTCAACTTCACATGCAAACAGGTAGTGAAACGCATTTCAAGAAATGTTAAAGAAATCACTGATTAAACAGACTTTTAGAAAGTTGTAAACAAACGAATCTTTTCTTGACACTTTATGAAGCATCCAAGTTGTTTTGGGAATATAGTTGTAGACGCAAAGCATAACACGCAGTTTTATTTTAAGATGATATCCACCAGTTTGGACTGCTCTGTGTTATGCAGGGCGAATTAAACAGTACACATTTCTCCTCTGTCTCTCCTGCAGCTGTTCCAAAGATTAAAACCACCGACCAGAACCTGGTGACAGATGCCGGTAAACCCTTTGTCATGACTGTGCCTTATGACGCGTACCCTCGTGCTGATGCCGAGTGGTTTTTTGAAGGCACCAGTCTTCCTGTCCAGAATATTGACACCTCTTTGGACAAGACCGAGTACCGCCTGAAGAGCCCTGCCAAGGAGGACCAGGGCCGGTACAAGGTGGTAATTAAGAACAAGCATGGTGAGGGTGAGGCCTTTATCAACCTGGATGTGATTGGTGAGTCTGTGATCAGATAACTGCTCAGTCCTCTGTCGGAGGATATCACCAGAGTTTCTGAGTGTTGTCCTGGTGGTTTTCCAGATGTACCGGGACCCATCAAGAACCTGAGAGTGGTTGACACTGTTGATGGCGAGGTCAGTTTGGCCTGGGAGGAACCTGAGAATGACGGTGGCAGCAAGATTATCGCCTATGTTGTAGAAAGACGGGATGTGAAGCGCAAGACCTGGACTGTGGCTACAGACCGTGCTGACACTCCAGAGTACTGCGTCAGTGGCCTGCAGAAGGAATCCTTTTACCTCTTCAGAGTCTGTGCTCGAAACAGAGTTGGCAGCGGACCCGCTGTTGCAACCGAAGATGCCGTCCAGGCCAAAAACAAGTTTGGTAAGCAACACCCCGAGATCCCCGCTCCACTAATCCTAACGCCATCTCCACACTCGTCCTAATAATGTCCGTCACATTTTTGTTTCCTAACTTTAGATGTTCCAGATGCTCCTGAAAATGTTGCAGTAGAGTCAGTGAACAAGTTTGGTGCCACCATCACTTGGGAGCCCCCCAAGTTTGACGGTGGCTCTGAGATCACTGCTTATGTGATTGAGCTCCGTGACAGAACATCTGTTAAGTGGGAGGCAGCCTTAGTCTGTGCTGCCGATGACCACTTGGCTATGCTGAACGACGTGGTGGAGTACAAGGAGTACATCTTTAGAGTCCGAGCAGAGAACAAGGCTGGCATCGGCAGGCCCAGTGCTGCCACCAACCCCGTCAAGATCATGGATCCCATCGGTGAGCTCACTCTCAATGTTTCTATCTAAGTCCTGTGTAGAAATATCAAACAGTCTGATTTTGCTCATGTCTTGTGCCCACAGAGAGGCCGAGCCCACCTCTGAACCTGAACTTTAGTGACCAAATCAAGACAGCAGTCACGTTGACCTGGGAGACGCCCATAAACAACGGTGGCAGCATGATTACAGGATACATCATTGAGAAATGTGAGGACGGCTCTGACAAGTGGCTCCGCTGCAACGCCCGACTGTGTCCCGACCTCTCCTACCGGGTATGCAGCCAACCTGAAGAGTCTGCCTTTATTCTGATTCAACCTCAGCGCAGTTACATTTTTCTTCCTGGTCTGGATTGTGTTGTTGTTTTCTTCAGGTGTCTGGACTAAAACCTGGTCAGAAGTACCTCTACAGAGTTTGCGCTGAGAATGCCGCCGGTGTCTCCGATCCAGCCGAGCAGCTGGGACCACTGCTTGCCGATGATCCTCATGGTGTGTGCAACAAGCATAAACTCAACCAACCACTTCTTCTTTATAAATCCAAGTAGTTCACTGGATGTGCTTTCACAACCAAATGTTTCTCTCTTGGCAGTTGGTCCAACCTTTGATCTGAGTGGCTTCAGGAAAGGCCTGGAGGTGATTGTTCCTCAGCCTCTAACAATTAGAGTTCCCATTACTGGATACCCAACCCCTGTGGCCAAGTGGACCTTTGGCGAGAAGGAGCTGACCCCAGCGGATGAGCGTGTCTCCATGGTGACGAAGCCTACGCACACGGAACTGACGATATCTCCTAGTGTTCGTCCAGACAAAGGCATCTACACCCTGCAGCTGGAGAACGACGTATCCTCTGTCTCTGGAGATATTGATGTCAACGTCATCGGTAAGAACCCATGACCATGTGATCAAGTTTAGCAATGATGGTGCTTATTTTAATAGACAGCTCATTTTATTGTGGTACAGAGACGTCTGTTACCCCCAAATCATCTAGAAACAAACCCAAAAGAAGAAAACTGATGGAAGTCTTTTTCATCTTATTTTCCCAGCATGCCCCAGTGCTCCGAAGGACTTCAAAGTGGCTGAAGTGACCCGTCAACATGTCCACTTGATGTGGGAGGCACCTGAACACGATGGAGGAAGTCCAGTGACACACTATCAGATTGAGAAGAGAGAAGTTTCTCGCAAGACATGGGCCAAGGTACTTTCAGCTCATTTCAGTAATGTCATCTTTGGCGCTGTACGTAATAAAAATATTTCAGCTCATCACAAAATGTAAACTGAGTGAATTACCTGGTTTTGTGTGAAAAAGTAACCGCCTTCTAAAAATAATACATGAATGTGCAGCTCCTTTCTGAGCTACCAACGAAAAGTTTTAGAGGTTTTCAGATGGTGCAAAATGCAGCTGCTTGCTTTTTAACTAAAACTGGAAAATTTGAGCACATTCGAGCAGATTCTAAGCTGCTCACCTACGAGGCTTTCACTGGTTTGGCACCTTCATACCTCTCTGATCTTTTGCACCTTTATGTTCCATCTCGTGCGCTCCGATCTCAGGACTCTGGCCTTCCAAAGGTTCCTAAAGCCAGAAAAAAGACAGTTGGGGAGCGTGCTTTTTCTTTTCGTGCCCCGTTTTTGTGGAACAACCTCCCTCAAGATATTAGGCAGGCTGCTCTGTGGAGGGTTTTAAAGCTAAGTTGAAGACACACTTGTTCAGCCTATCCTACAGGTCTTAATTCTTTGCCTATTAGTTTTTTAAATGTTTATCATTTTTAACTCTGCTTATGTTTTTAACTTGTGTTGCTATGTATCACTTTTATTTATTTATCTCTTTATTTTCAAATCGCTGTACAGCACTTTGTTTGAAAGCGCTTTATAAATAAAGTTATTGTTATTGTTAGCAGCAGTGTTGTTAGGTTTCAGGGCCTGGCTCAAACATGGCATGTGACATGTTGGCTTTTTTATTTTTAAAAACAGAAAACATTAGTTCCACAGTGTGAAATAATGTTCACAGACCCAGAAGTCTACCCAGGTCTGAGTTTATTTGCTCAGCAGTGACAGTGACATTTTTCCAGGTGGCTGCTGGCGTCCTTGACCTGGAGCACACGGTAACAGACGTGATTGAAGGAAAGGAGTATCTGTTCAGCGTCTCTGCATGCAACAAGTGCGGACCTGGAGAGCCAGCCTACATCGATGAGCCCATCAATGTCTCTTCTCCTGCAAGTGAGTGTTTTTACACTTCATGTGAAATTAATTGTCTTTGAGTGGAGAAACTGACAGATAACTAGAATCTCACCTGTTTCACGTTCACGTATTTTCTCCTGCAGCTGTACCTGATCCACCTGAGAACCTTAAGTGGCGCGATAAGAGTGCCAAGTCCATTTTCCTGTCCTGGGAGCCTCCAAAATACGATGGTGGTGCCCATATTAAAGGCTACGTGGTGGACAAGTGCCAGCGTGGTACAGACAAGTGGGAACCCTGCGGTGATCCCCTCCCTGAACTCAAGTAAGACTTAAGAGCTTGTAACTGCCGGTTAAGTTTTTTGGGCCACACGTTATTAGTGTCCTGTCTTTATTTTGGTACAGCTGGATATATTATATGATTTGAACTCACAGGTTCCAGGTTACCGGCCTGGTCGAGGGCCAGTGGTACGCCTACAGAGTCAGAGCTTTTAACAAGCTGGGAGCCAGTCGACCTTGCAGGGCTACCGATGAGATCCAAGCTGTGGACGCTAAGGGTAGGACGGGTTGTGCTCTTCCAGACAGTCACATGATGCTGCAGCCACACACTGCACAAAAAGTGCAGCAGTATAATTTATTTTTGTAATGGATTCTGCAGACTCACTCAGAAATGTGCAGCATCTCTCAGTGATACAGGAGCAAATCTTTCTTATGACAAATAAAAGAATAAGTGAGAATGTGTGGATTTTAAGGATATTACCATCAAGGTTTCAGGCATAGTTGTGATAATATAATATAAGACACATTTCATTTCTCCAAAAGGTGGAAATTCATTTGTTAAAGCAGAACAATTTTATAACTAATTGGCTTAAATAAGCAAAATTATATATAGTTCAGCCAAATAAAATGCAGTATGGCACATATCTGCCGAGAATACACAGTTTTGCATGAACAGTATTTAGAAAAAAGGAAAAAATATATATATTTAATGTACAAATATACAAATCTGGGGAAAAGAGGAAATTAATACATAAATAAATGGTGTTATGTATTTACAGTTTGGGTTATTGCATGTAAAATTAAATATTGGACAGTTGTGAGTTATCGAGGGGAAACTGAAATGAACATATATTTATAGAAGCACAAATTGAAATGAAACACAGTAATGAAGTTGGGACAACTGTGACTATGTTTAAAAATTCCTACAGAACCTCCTGAGATCCAGCTCGATGTGAAGTTGCTGGCTGGATTAACCACCAGAGCTGGCAGCAAGATTGAGCTTCCTGCAGATGTGAAAGGGAAGCCCGATCCCCGGGTGAAGTGGACCAAAGCAGACGTGGTCCTGCGGGCTGATAACCGCATTGCCATCGACACCCAGCCAGGACACTCGAAGGTTTCCATTGACAACACCACCAGAGGAGACACCGCCACCTACATCATTGAGGCAGTCAATGCCTGTGGACGAGCCACTGCCACTATTGATGTCAACATCCTGGGTACAAAAGCTGATTTCTTATCGTAGAAGACAAATGATAGCTGTGATGGCAATGAAAACATGAGAGTAAACTTCCTTTACTGTAGAAATCCTAGAGTTCCTTACAGCTACAGGATTTTCATGCTACCAGGTGATTTTAAGTTAGTCAGAAAATGGGAAAAGCATCTCCTTTTTTGATTAAAGATATGAAAATAATCTTAGCATAACATACTGGACAGACCATTTTATAGGGTTATCTTATATCGCCGAGCCTGCTAAGCAGTTGTGGCACCTCCAGATGTCTTGCATTACCATTATCTTGGTTATGATTTTAATTTTGGCCCCTCCTCTTTAGATAAACCGGGCCCTCCAGCTGCTTTAGATATCTCTGAAATCACCAACGAATCCTGCGTCCTGGCCTGGAACCCTCCCAGAGATGATGGTGGGTCTCCCATCACCAACTACATTGTGGAAAGTCGTCAGACTGACAAGGAGGAGTGGGTCAAGCTGTCAGCCACGGTGAAGCACACCACCTTCAAGGCCACCAAGCTCACAGCATTGAAAGAGTACATTTTCAGGGTCAGTGCTGAGAACCAGTATGGCATTGGTGAACCTGCAGAGCATGTGCCAATCACTGCCAAGTATTCCTTCGGTACGTTGTTTTATACTACTCTCCGGTGACTTATTTCCAGCCTGTGCAGGTGAACCGTAGATAAATCCTTTTATTTTTCATCTGTTTCAGATCCTCCGGGTCCTCCAACCAGAATCACTCCCTCTGACATCGCCAAGGACGCTGTCACTCTGACCTGGTTAGAGCCTGACGAGGATGGCGGTAGCCCCATCACTGGATACTGGATTGAGAAGTTAGATCCGGAGAGTGACAAGTGGATCAGATGTAACAAACTACCCATCACGGACACAACATTCAGGTAACTAAGTACCTGAAGGTACAAGTGGCAGGAGTGATGGTGAAAGTCCTTCAGCTAACAGTGTGGACCATTTTTTTGTCAAGCATGTTTCTAACTTTGAATTTTGGGCTGCAGGGTAAAGGGTCTGACCACCAAGAAGAAGTACCGCTTCCGTGTTCTGGCTGAAAATCTAGCTGGACCTGGAAACCCAAGTGCAGAGACTGATCCCATCCTCATCAAAGATCCTATTGGTATGTCACATGTCAGTCAATCTACTTAGGCTGAGTCAGATGTTGTGGTATCAAGATTATAATTTCCTTATTGCAAAGCACAGCACAAAGATCAGGAAATAAAAGTATTCATATAACTCTTCTTCAGATCCTCCATGGGCTCCTGGTAAACCTGTCATCAGGGACATTGCCAAGACCTCAGCCCTGTTAGGATGGACTCGTCCAGAGCACGATGGCGGGGCTAAGATTGAAGGCTACATCATTGAGTTCCAGAAGGCTGGAAGCGAGGAATGGATCAAGATTGCAGAGGATGTTCCTCAGACTGAGCATCAGCTGAAGGGTCTAATAGAAAAGCAAGAATACTCTTTCAGAGTCAGGGCCGTCAATAAGGCTGGTGAGAGCGAGCCCAGTGAGCCCAGCGACCCCGTGGTCTGCAAGGAGAGACTCTGTAAGTTGATACCAGTGTGAGCAGTGGGCAGCAAATGACGTCTGTAGAGGTTATAGACTATAAAATATAAGCTATCAAGAGTTGTTTTCATTTGGAAAACCATACAACCTTGAATTTAATTTTTTAAAGTAAAAGTCTTTGTGTTTGCTTCAATAGATCCTCCATCAGCTCCTCAGTGGCTGGAGGTGGCGAACATCACCAAAATTAACGCAGACCTAAAGTGGCAGCCTCCCAGCAGTGATGGCGGCTCACCCATCACCAACTACGTGGTTGAAAAGAGGGACGTGAGGCGGAAGGCGTGGCAGACTGTCGATACCACCGTCAAGGAACAGAAGTATACGGTTACCCCTCTCAACGAAGGATCGCTGTATGTGTTCCGGGTTGCTGCAGAGAATGCCGTTGGGATGGGTGAATTTTGCGAGCTGGAGGATGCCGTTCTTGCCAAGGACACTTTTAGTGAGTTTTTTAAGTCAGCATTGGTCTTCCCCTTTTAATTTACTTCTTTGTGAAACCCAAGGAGCCACTATCTCTACGTGTTAATGCTTTTCACTTTTTCTCCAGCAACTCCTGGACCTCCTTATGCACTGACAGTGGTGGAAGTCACCAAGAGATACGTGGAGCTGAAGTGGGAACCTCCCAATAGCGATGGTGGAAGACCAATAACAAAGTAAGACAAACTGCTGTAAAGCCATTCAGACGAGAACAATTATAGGACACTTTTTGGTGGGTTTTTCCATAAAGCAGCGCATTCAGGCTTTCAGTAAGAGAACTCTAAAGTGAGACAAAAGACGTGGTTTATCTCATACTGTTCAAGAGCTGTACTTGACAAACACCATCTGCCTAACAGGTATGTGATTGAGAAGAAAGAAAAGGTGGGAACTCGCTGGCTGAAGTGCTGCAAAACTCCGGACAGAAAGACTCAGTTCAAGGTAACGGATGTTGATGAAGGTTCAGAAGTGCAGTTCCAGGTCAGAGCTGAGAACGAGGCTGGAGTTGGAGATCCAAGTGAACCCACCGTGATTCTCACCATTGAAGATCCAACCAGTAAGATACTTTTAACTGTATTTCTTTATTCTTTTGGTGCTCAGTGTATTTAAGCAGGGATATCCCCCCAAAATAACCCCAACAATAATAAAATAAGGAGAAAAAGTTGTTGACTTTCTGCAGATAAATGCATGAAACCTCCTTCCTCTCCAGGTGCACCATCACCTCCACTTGAAGTGGTCATCCCTGATGCCAGCAGGGAGCACATCAATGTCACCTGGAAGCCTCCGGTCAAGGACGGGGGTTGTCCTGTCACTGGATACCATGTGGAGGTGGCAGAAGCCCGTCCAGAACTAAAGTGGCTCAGGGTCAACAGCAGACCCATCAAGGAGCTAAATTTCAGGATAGATGATGGAATCAAACCTGAGAAAAAGTATGTCATTAGGGTTCGGGCCATCAACTCTGTCGGAGTCAGTGATCCCTCTGATGTCTCTGATAAGGTCGCCACCAAAGATCCTGACTGTAAGCAAGGACGGAATTCAACTTTAGAACTTCAGAAGAAGTGAACTTAAAGCACCGATAATACAAATCTAAGTAATAATCCTGTGTTCTTCTCACAAGGTGCTCCAACCATGGATTTGGAAGCAAAGGACGTGATAGTGGTTGAAGGTGAGAAGCTGCACCTGAATATTCCCTACAGGGCAATCCCAACACCCAAGATGGTTTGGCAGAAGGACACTGTGGAGTGTAAGGCCGGTGACCGGCTCTCCCTGACAGTGGAGATGAACAGCGCCCACCTGGAGCTGCTCAAGTGCAGCCGCGGTGATGCTGGCGCCTATGCCATCACTCTGGAAAACAGTCTGGGAACTGCCACTGGAACCGTCAATGTCAAAGTCATCGGTAAGGCGATTCGATGCTTAGGACATATAACGCTGTTAATATGTCGTTCAGCGATGGTGTCCTCTGCAAACCAAATTTAAAGTTTACCACCAACAATTTTCAAGTTTGGATTTAGATCCATTCTTAGTCTAAAAGTCCTCAAGCAGACTCACTATTCACTATCAGACACAGACACTCTGCAGCAATCTTCTTAAACAGTTTTGCTTCTTTGCCAAACCGTGTAGGACTCCCTGGTCAGTGTAAAACTATCACCTCCAGTGACGTCACCAAGAACAGCTGCAAGGTCAGCTGGGAAGCTCCAGAGGATGATGGCGGCACCCCCATTGTCAGCTATACCCTGGAGCGCCGTGAAGCGTCCAAAAAGACTTACATGCCTGTTATGTCAGGAGAAAATGTCCTAACAAGTACTGTCAAAGATCTCTTTGTCAACTGTGAGTACTACTTCAGGGTGAAAGCTGTCAACAAGGTCGGAGCAGGACAATATCTGGAGTTACAAAACCCGGTCATTATAGAGGAAATAAAACGTAAGTTTCATTTTATGTTCAACAACTAAAATCTGTTTTATTGCTTTGAGCATTAACATTACCATTTCAGATAAAGTTTAGTCTGAAAAAGCACATGAATACTTTCCAAACTATGCTGCAAGTGAAATGATCTTCATAAACTGTCCCGTCAATACAAAAATGAGGACCGATTTAGTCAGGTGATTCTGATACAGGACAACTGACAGGGGGTCCAAGCAGATCAAGTGTAACTCCTAAAATATGAGGCATAAACAACGGGAACATCAAAACATCAGACATTGACTCTGTTGTTAATATTGATTGCACAGAGAAACCAGACCCACCCATCCAAGTGGAGGCTCATGACCCAACGTCCAAGTCCATCACAGTCACCTGGAAGGCTCCAGACTACGATGGCGGCTGTCCCATCCAGGGCTACATCATAGAGAAGATCGAGAAGGACGGCGACCGCTACGAGAGGGTCACACCAAGCCTGGTCCCTGGTTTCTCCTACGTGGTGATGGGCCTAAAGGAGGACATGGAGTACCAGTTCAGGGTCAGAGCTGAGAATGCTGCTGGAGTCAGCGAGCCGTCACGCAGCTCACAGCCCATCAAGGCTGCAGACCCTGTTGGTGTGTGAAAGTCAAATGCGCTAACATCAGTGACTGTCACAAGTAAATGTGTATTTATGTTGGAGCTAACATGTCAAAATCGTTCATTCCTTGCAGAAAAACCCAAGGTCACCCTGCACGCCCGTGTTCAATCTGGGCTCTGCATCAAGAAAGGTGAGGAAATCTGCATTGACGCCTACATCTCTGGCTCCCCATATCCCAAAGTCACCTGGCTGAGAAATGATGAGGATGTCGCCAAAGAGCCCACCAAGAAGTTCATTCCTGTTATCAAGAAGAAGAAGACCAAAGCCAAGGTTTGTGTCTTCACTGAGACATCTGAAAGTCCTGAATGTTTCAAGTGTTTCAACCTTTCTGATTTCTTGCTGCAGGTTCCAGAACCAGAGGAGGAGTTTGTGACTCCCCTGCGTGAGCGTCTGGGTATAGACCAGACCAAGAAGGGACAATCTGCACTGATGATCCGTGATGCCGTCAGAACCGATCACGGCAGCTTCACTATCAAGGTGGAAAACACACATGGTGTTGCCACCGCTTCCTGCGTCGTCAACGTCCTAGGTAATAAAGTTTACCGATTAACTGGAGGCCACATGATTAGATTTCATAACTGGTATATTCACACAGTTAAAAGCGTCTGTGAGCTTCTCCATTATATGCAAGGAATCACAACAGATCCACATATTTAACTTTGGCACAGTGTTTCTGACATAAGCCTACCTGGGATTCTTTCTTCTCCCAAGTTTGATTCAGAAATTGACTTCAGTTCAGATTTTTTTCTTATAGAACCAATTCTTAACAACAGTCGGCTCAAACCACTTTTCAGGTAGGGAGTGCAATATCAAAGAGAAAACCTCAACAATCTTGATTAGGCAAACATGTTTACTACAGAGCCGCTAGCAGAGTTAAACAATTATTCATTTCCAAAATGCCGTTGAGATTAAACATTGGCTTGACTGTCTTGTATTGCAGACAAACCTGGTGCTCCGATTAACTTCACCTTTGATGAGATCAGGAACACGTCGGTCATCTGTAACTGGGAGCCTCCTGAGGATGATGGTGGCAGCGAGATCCTGAACTACATTCTGGAGAAGAAAGACAACAAGAAGGACGAGACTGGCTGGATCACCGTCACTTCTACCCTGAAGGGCACCAGCTGCCCCGTCACCAAGCTCATCGAAGGGAAGGAGTACATCTTCAGAGTCACTGCTGAAAACAAGTATGGCTGTGGTCCACCGTGCATCTCCGAACCACTCGTCGCCAAGAACCAGTTCAGTGAGTAAAAGCATAAAAATAATAAAGACTGTGATGACTGATAACAATCAGCTGTAAAAAAAACAAACAAACTTCAAAAGTAATTATACCTCCTTTTTTTAATGTAATTTAGTGGTAATTTAACGGTGTCACAACAACGTATTTTGGACTTTAAAAATATAAAAAATACACAAATTTTTAAAAATTGATTCTTTATATTTTGTAAGAATAATTTGCATTTATTAACAGATGCAAAAATGTCTGAATTACTGCAGTTACTGGTATTTCTTTAAAACATGTTCTATGTCACATATGAAAATAAGCATCTATGCAGTATGTAAATAAAATCAGTGTGTTATTTATAAATCTGTTTAGCTTTCATTTTTAATTATTTCATGTATTCAACATTTTGTGCTTTCAATTATAAGTAATTTTTTCCGTTCCGCAAAGGTTGATTCTGTTCATCTGGATATTTCAGCGGGAGAAACATTTTGTCACTCATCCAGGTGACGTCTTCAGTCTCAGCTGACTGCAGGTCTCAATCTTATCAACAGTACATTTGCATAATGACTGAAACCAGCCCACGGAAGGAACAATGGGCTGGGAGGTCAGTTCACTGATCATTAATATACAATTTGACATGATCATTGAACAACCACTGATCAATGGCCATGAGTCCCACTCACAGAGAGTTGAGGAATGGCTGCAATCACAGCATTGTAAGATGGAGACAGATGGACACTTAGGCCCCTCCTCGATTTAGAGATGGTCTTTCCCTTTTAAGTAAATGGCCTCCTCCTAAACGGTTGTCCTTCTCTCCTGGATCGGCTGGAGCTTTCTTTGACAAAAGTCCAGCTGGGATAACCACACTTACTCAGGGCCTTCTTGATGTTCTTCTGCCTCCCTGGCTGCTGTGTCTGTGGGGATGGTGTTCGCTCTGTGTTGTAGCGTCCTGATGACGCCCAGTTTGTGCTCCAGTGGATGATGAGAGTCAAACCTTAGATACTGATCTGTATGTGCAGGTTTACGGTACACGTCAGCTTTTAGATGTCCCCCATTACTGATGGAAATCTCACAGTCTAAGAAGGCTAACCTGCCACTTTTCATATCCTCCCTGGTGAATTTGATGTGTCGGTCCACCGAGTTAATGTGATCCGTGAAATGTGGAACGTCCTGAGATTTGATTTTCACCCAGGTGTCATCCACATACCTGAACCAATGGCTTGGTGGTGTTCCAGGGTAGGATAGCAAAGCCCTCTTTTCCACTTCTTCCATGTACAAATTGGCCACGATGGGTGAAACTGGGAGCCCATGGCACCCATGTTTCTGCCTGTAGCACTGACTCTTGTATGTGAAGTAGGTGGAATGAAGACACAGTTCCAAAAGCAAACTCTTAGGTTTACATTGTTGGATTGTCATTTATGCTTAGAAATATATAAGCGCTCGTCTCGGGCATCTCCCTCGTGCACGTCATCATACAAAGAGCTCTGGTGACTTGTTTTTGCTGTTGTAGTAGAATTGTCTCGTACCAGCAATAGGTCTGTGCTAGACAAACCTGTCACAAACACACTTGGTCGATGCTGAGATTGATCCTGTTCCTGAGGTTGGGGTCATCCTGTAATCTCTTATGAACTACCTCCGGTGCTTCGGTGACTGGCACACAAGTGAAGAGAGATGTAACATCATACGAGACCATGGTTTGATCTGCCTCCATGATGGCATCTCTCACCTTCTCAACAAAATCCAGGGTGTAAGTGTCCATCTGTCACCATCTTACAATGCTGTGATTGCAGCCATTCCCCAGCTCTCTGTGAATGGGACTCATGGCCATGGATCAGTGGCTGTTGATCGATTGTCAATGCATATTAATGATCATAAACTGATCACAGTCCATTGTTCATTCAGTGGTGCTGGTTTCAGTCATTGTACAAATGTGCTGTTTATAAGGTTGGAGACCTCAGGTCACCTGATGATGATGAAACGTTTCTCGCACTGAAAACATCCAGGTGAACAGAATCAACCTTTTGGGATTTACTAGCTGGATGACTGAGTGTGCATCCAGACAATATTTCACATTATCCATTTTTAAATACTAAAAGTTAAATACATCCTTAAAATACTCATTAATTCAATTTTTAATGATCAGTTACAGGTTATAGTGAAGTTAAAAAATATGGAAACAATTTAACATGATTGACATAAACTGACTTTTAGTTTCTGTTAAAACAAATGATTTGTTAAAGCAGTTGTTTTTCTTTATACAACCAGCAACATTGTTTGACTCTGGCACAATATGTCACAACCTTATGGCCATATTGTGAAGGTAACAATGAAGACATCTCTTCCCTGTGTTCGTCAAATGTGCAAAGACCGTTAAATATAAAGTCACCTATATTCTCCTTTGTGCTCAGGTCCTCCTGATGCTCCCAACACTCCCAGAGTCCACGAGGTGACGGCAAGCACCGCGCACATCTCCTGGCATGAGCCAAAGGACAATGGAAGCCCCATCCTGGGTTACTGGATCGAGAGGAAGGAGGTGAACAGCAAACACTGGACCAGAGTCAACCGAGCCCTCCTCAACTCTCTCGAGGTGAAGGTGACTGGCCTGATGGAGGGCTTGACCTACATCTTCAGGGTCTGTGCTGAGAATCTGGCTGGCCCCGGGCCCTTCAGTGATCCGACCGATCGCATTGTCGCCATGGATGAAATCCGTGAGTGCAATACCAAAAGAGAACTTCAAAGAGAAGCTCACATTTTCTTAAGTGTAGCATCAGATTTTTTGGTTTGATCTACTTCTTTCTAGTCATCACACCTGAGATGAGTAAAGTTAACACATTCTTATGACTGATAAAGATGTTTCAATCTTCATCGACAAGAAATTATTTTAGTCTTTTTAATTATCAAAATTATGAATGACACATTTCTCATAAATAGAGAAAACTGCATATATGCTGCTGAAGGAAGAACTTGATTGTGTAACAGTAAAGACCAAGTGCAGCCTATCATTGTTCCACTCTTCCACTCAGTGCCTCCTGGTCCACCAATTCCATGGATCGTGGACACCGGGAAGGACTCTGTTGTTGTGGCGTGGAAGCCCCCGCTGTACAATGGTGGTGGAGACATCCTGGGATACCACGTTGAGAAGGTCTGAAAAACTCTGTGAAGTAACCTCCTTGAATTACACATTTAATAATCAGTAAATCTCCAACTGTGGGTCTTTCTTAAGAATCATGGATGTGGACGTGGTCAAACTCTTGTGCTCTTGTCACAGGTTCTGGCCGGAGAGAAAGACTGGAGCCGCAGCACCGAGTTCAGGTGTAAAGAGCTGACGTACACTGTGACCGGCCTCACTGAGGGAGCAGATTATTATATCCGGGTTCTTGCAGTCAATGACGCAGGCCCAGGAGCTCCTGGTGTTACTGAACCCGTTACCGTCAAAGAGCCCCAAGGTACCAGAATTTCTATTACAGGGGCAAGACGCACTTTTACATATGCATTTTTAATGTGGGACAGTGTTTATAACTGTGCCTCACAAAACAGATGGATTTCCAGTTCTGATTAACGGCTTGTGTCCTGCAGAATCTCCTGTTGTGGATTTCGATGACTCTGTGAAGAACGGCGTCATGATTAGGGCCGGCGAGTCTCTGAGGCTTCCTGCTGTGGTCCGTGGTCGACCCCAGCCGGAGGTAAAATGGGCCAAAGATGAGGCTGAAATCGACAAAGAGAGGATGATTGTGGAGACTGTGGGGAAGAACAGTACATTGTTCATCAAGAAGGCTGTGAGGGCAGATCACGGAAAGTACCAGATCACCGGCACCAACAGCAGTGGGAGCAAGACCGCCGAGACAAGAGTGGATGTTATGGGTTAGTGTTACATAAATTCAGTTATTTTAGGACTAATAAACTTGCTTTTTGAACTCAGAACACAAATGTGCATTTTTTTCTTTTGCAATCCAGAAGCACGTTGTGGTCTTTGAAGGGAACGATAGAACTGACTTCAGATCAGACTTTACTGTTGAAATCTAAATCATGTAATAAAAACTGTTATGTTCACATGAAATATTTTTCCTGGTTCCTGCAGATGTTCCTGGGCCGGTGGTTGACTTGAAGGCTGTTACAGTTACCAAGAAGAACATCGTCCTCACCTGGTCTGACCCCGTGGATAATGGTGGCAGCGATATCATTGGTTATGAGGTGCTAAAGAAGGATGCCAATATGAAGCTCTTCCGCCAGCCCATTGAGACTGCATCCTGCAAGTGTGATGTCCAAGGCCTGCTGGCTGGCGAGCAGTATGATTTCAGAGTCATTGCCAGGAACAAGTATGGTGATGGACTTCCAGCAGACCTGGGTCCCATCTTAGCTGAGGATCCAAAAGGTGAGCTTACCAAATATGTCTTGATGCTGCTGTTAGCTCACACTTTAGGGCATTAATTAAGCCTGATGAAAAATTCAGTGGCCTGATGATCCAATTTTTTCAGTGATGGCTAAATTCTTTCAAAATGTTGCAGGTACACCATCTGCCCCAGAGAAACTGCACTACACCAACAGAAGCAAGAACACCATCACTCTGGCCTGGCAGCCTCCTCGCACTGATGGTGGCAGCCCCATCAGAGGATACTATGTGGAGAAGATGAGGTCTGACAGCACCGAGTTTGAAGTGGCCAACCGCAAGATCTTCACTGAGTGCTGTGGAACCATTGAGAACCTGTCGGAGAACCAGGAGTATGACTTCCGTGTCAAAGCCGTGAACGAGGTTGGAGAAGGAGATCCATCCAAAAGAATCACCGTCAAGATCCAGGATGATGAGAGTATGTTCAAAGTCTTAAGGTCCTATCACATTCACATGTGCAAAACCAATAGAAATAAAGCGTATAGCTGCGCAAAGTTCAACCACAATGTGAAGGAAAAGATTCTGTGCGCTTGAGTTCGAGCCTTTAAGCCTTCAACAGCTCTGCGGACCTCAGGAGGAAGGCAGTGTTGTGGAAAGGACACGCTCTTCACTAGTCGGGATAGTTACAAAGCTTTCTTCTTTATGAATAAGTGATGCATGTTTTATGAAATATTTGAGCATAATACGACACGAACTCTCGTAGAGGATATCAAATCAACGAGATGTTTTGAAATGATAAGCAGGCACGTTTATAGTACACGTAGAGTGGCTGCAAAAAACAGACTTCCAAGCAGAGGCCCCACAAATTTTGGGCCCTTGGCTTTAGTTAGCAGTCAGTGCAACACATGCCATATCTGATGTGAAAGGGCCTAAAGGTTATGATGATACTTTACTTTTGTCAGGCTGATAAAGATTTGACACAATTTCCCAATTTTGTTGGCCAAAGTTGCTCCCAGCATTACAATCTTGAAATTCATCAAGAGCAACGCCATCAATGTGAGGAAAGGCGCCGCCATCGACATCCCAGCAGAAGTGAGGGGACTTCCTCTGCCGACACTGCAGTGGATGAAGGATGACGTCGCGATCGAGAAGACCGATGAGGAGAAGATGACGATGGAGACTGAGGAGGTCAGAACTAGTTTTAGTTTTATGGTATTATTATTCAGTGGAGCTACTGGTTTCACAGGAAGAAGTTCCCACATTTATTTACTTATGCATGTACGTTTGCCTATGTTTTTGTGTGACGAATGAATTTAAGCCACACTGTTGTTAGTTTATATCTATTTGTCATGTTGAATGTTGGAGCAATGGAGAAAATTTTTTACTGTTTCATCATTGGCACAGTTAATATAAAAGCAAAATCCTGCTTTACAGAGGATGAACGGATCTCTGACCCTTCGCACTCTGGATTTTAGAAATAGTTAGATCCTCAACAAATTAAGTTGTTTTATCTTCAGGTGGACCGGACAACCATAAGGACGAAGATCGCCATCCCAGAAACCATAAGGCAGGACAAAGGCAGCTACAAGCTGGTTGCTGAAAACTGCCACGGGAAAGCTCAGCAGATCATCAAAGTCGAGATCCTCGGTAAAACCTAAAATTCTGTTTGTATAATTTTAATGGCTTGTGTTTAACACGGCATCTTTTCCAATGTTTCACGTTAAATATGCAGTATTTAAACATTATTTTTCATCCCGAATTGCTGAGCTGTACATGAATTTAACACTGCATTTTCAGACCGTCCTCTTCCTCCACGGAACATCGTGGTCTCAGACATCAAAGCAGACTCGTGCTACCTGACCTGGGACGCTCCAGAAGACAATGGAGGAAGCGAGATTACTAACTACATTGTTGAGCGCAGAGATGCAAGCAAGAAAAAGTCTGACTTTGATGTTCTCACCATCAACCTCATTGACAGGAGATATGGGGTAAGACTTGGCTGCAGAGCATGGATGCTACACAGACTTATTCAAAATGAATAATAATGAATCATTTTGTTGTATTAACGATAAAAGCAGTTTGTCTACAGACAAATACACAAGTCAAAACATTAAAAACTATTCCAGTAATCAAATAAGAAACGTTTCTGTTTTTATTAGAAATGTTATTATTATCAAAATAGTCCTACACAAACAGCTATTCATCCTTATTGCCTGATCAAGAACAAAATGTGTCCTGCTTCTTCAGGTGTACAAACTGGACTTGAATGGTAGCTACCAGTTCAGGATCAAAGCTGAAAACAAATATGGCGTCAGTGATGGCTGCGACTCAGAGAAAGTCCAGCTGCGGGATCCATTTGGTCTTCCTGGACCTCCACGTAATGCAAAAATTATTGCTGCTACAGCGACCACAATGACCGTGACTTGGGATCCCCCTCTGGACAACGGTGGTTCCACCATCCAGGGATATTGGCTGGAGAAGAGGGAACGTGGTGCTGTGTACTGGGGTCGTGTCAACCGAGCTCCAGTCACCAAACCGGCAGTGAAAGGCCTGCAGTACACCGTGCTGAAGCTCATAGAAGGAACAGAGTACCAGTTCAGGATTTCAGCCTGCAATGCTGCTGGTGTTGGACCGCCCAGCGAGGCCACAGAGTGCCGCTTTGCTGTGGATCCATGCAGTGAGTGACCCCAGACCAGCTTTGTTAATCCATGATTCAGATTTAGACTGGAAGACAGAGATTTGGATAAAAACACTGCTTTATATTTTTGGGTTATTTTTTTGCGCTCTAATTTAGATGATTTCATATGAGTAAAACCAAAGTTCCCTTTTCATTCTGTAATAATGAAAGGACGCAGACACACCAATGGCTAAAATCTCCAAGACTAGGTAACTCACACGAAACCATTCTAGGTGATAGACAGCACTTCAGGTTCAAAATGTGCACATTGGATTATTAGGTAAAATAAAAAAGTCAAGTTAGACAGCCTGACCCCTCCGTTCTTCTTCCGTAGACCCTCCAAGCATACCTGGAAATCCTGAAATTAAAGACAAGACCAAGAACAGCGTCACTCTAACCTGGACCCCACCGGACAAAGATGGCGGGAGCCCAATCAAGGGTTACATTATAGAGGTTCATGAGGAGGGCTCTCCTGATTGGAGGAGAGTGAATCCTGCTGATAAGCTCCACCCCTCCACTGAAATCACTGTACCTGACCTGAAGGAAGGCAAGAAGTGCAAGTTCAAGATTTACGCGGTGAACTCTGCTGGAAACTCAGAGCCTGCTAGGACTGGTGACATCCTGGTTCAGGACATCCTGAGTAAGAGATACAAACACAGATAAGAACCTCTGTTTAATACAGACCTGGACATAACAGACATGTTTTCATTTTCACCAGAGGTTTAATATTCTCATTCTGATTTGTGCAGCATAATTCAATACCGATTTAAAAGCAGAGCTTACATTAAGGACAGGATCAAACAGGACAGTGTGCCATGTGTGTCATGAACTCAAGGAAGGCATGTTTTCCTCCGATGTTTTTTCTCTCCAGTTGAGCCAACGGTGACTCTCGATGTGACTGCTCACGACCTGCTAAACTGTAGAGCAGGAACGACCATTAAGATTCCTGCCACCATCACCGGCCGACCCGTCCCCAAAGTCACCTGGACTTTCGATGGAACGGCTGAGACTGAGAAAAAGAACGATCTACACACTCTGCCGATTGACTCAGAGGTCAGACGTCCATATATTCTGTCCAAATGACATATTTTAATATTTTAAAATATATTCAGCTCATTCCTCTAAAGAAGGGTTTGAAAGATTATTCAGCCCTGATAATCTTAGAAGACAAAAACTTTACTGTTTTTATGGTTTGCAATCTGAATTATGGCTCAGCCAAGTTAGTGCTGAATGTGTTAAGGAGAGGGTGAAATTCTTGTCGCAGATCCATTCCACCGACACAACCTCAGTGATTGTGATCCCAGCCTGCAAACTAAACCACAGTGGCAGATACATTATCAACGCAGAGAGCCCTGCTGGACACAGAGTGGTCAAAGTCAGAGTCAGCGTCCTCGGTAAGGCTTTTCACACTGACACACCTGGCAGGGTGCTACAAAGTGTGTAATGACTACAATAGAAGTAAATGTACAAATTAAAGAAGGATATGTTAATTAAGTTAATTATGTCCAATTAGCAGTTTAAAATATGCCAAAAAACATTGAGTCTATCTGTCTTTGACTGATTGTTACCTGCAGACCTGCCCGGACCTCCCAGAGACCTGAAGATTAGTGACGTGACCAGGGGAACATGCAGACTCACCTGGAAACCCCCAGAGTGTGATGGAGGAGAGAGGGTTAAGAGCTACTTTATTGAAAAGAAAACAGCAGAGGGAAAAGCATGGACCAAGGTACAGCCTGCAGAATAACGGACATTAAGCTATACACTGTTTTGCTCCCATGTATTTGACGCTGATCTTGTTCTTCCAGGTAAACCCGGCCTGCGCTGCTCAGTCTCTGGTGGTGCCAGATCTGAATGAAGGCCAGGAGTACTTTTTCCGTGTACGTGCTGAGAACCGCTTTGGGTTTGGCCCCTACATCGCAAGCATTCAAAGGACCAAGGCCAGAGATCCAATCCGTACGTTCGATTTTTATTATCATCTATTGTTTCCTGCTCTGGCTCATCTAAACAGATGGGTTTTATACACAGAAACCTTTAGTATAGCATAATACCTTACTGTTTGTACACAGTGTGCAAATCCAATATAAACCAAACTATCTTATCTGTTTTCTACTTTTGTATCGTGATGTTCAGAGCATGTGCAGATGATACTGTCAGACATACACAGAAAAAGCGCACTATTCACAGCAATGTGACCTTAACAAACATCTAACAAAGTGTTGCTGAACAAATAAAAATTGCTTCTGTACACTGTAATTTGATTTTATAGTGTAGACCATAGATGTCAAACTCTGGCAGCCTACTAACATTTGGCCCACGAAGCCACACCAAGTTACTATCAGAGCTGGCCTGCTGGTATCATACAGCTAATATATATATTGTTTAGTATTAAGCTTTGCTTGTTCCATATTCAGTTTTTCAGCAAAGCGTGTTTGAGTCCAAAAGAAAAGATTCATTCTAATATCTGGAGGATTAAATATATTTCAATAAATATTAACGTCAGCACGCGACTTTGTTCCAGTTTTGAATTTTGGCCCACTGTGTGTTTGAGTTTGACACCCCTGGTTTAGACTGACTCTAAACTCAATTTTAACCCACACACTAGTTATGTGATAACAAGACTAACTTTTCAGACACAACTGAAATCAATAAAATAAATCTTGAGCACTATATCACAGAAGAAAAGGGTATATCCTGAATTTGATCAAATCACGACAGAAATGACATTCATCAGCAGCAGCATTACTCCTGATGAAACAAGTGTTATGTACATCGTGGCTGCTTGTGATCTGACACCAGTCTGTAATGTCTCCAGATCCTCCCGATCCTCCAACAAGGTTGAAGATCCAGAGCGTCAGGAAGGGCACAGTAACTCTGACCTGGAAGGCTCCAAAGAACGATGGTGGTTCACCTGTAACCCACTACAGCGTGGATCTCCTCTGCTGGGACAGCAGTGGCACCCAGAAGGAGTCCTGGAGGAGGTAAAACTTCACACATCTGCTCTCTTGGTTTCTGCTGAGACTCGATTTGAGAACATGTGGTATGGACTTACTCTGACTTTCTGACTACAGACCTAAATCTGTTAAATGGTAAATAGTAAATGGCCTGCATTTGTATAGCGCTTTTCTAGTCCCTAAGGACCCCAAAGCGCTTCACACTACATTCAGTCATTCACCCATTCACACACACATTCACACACTGGCGATGGCAGCTACATTGTAGCCACAGCTGCCCTGGGGCGCACTGACAGAGGCGCCCCAGGTCTGGAAGATTTTTTTTTCTTTGTAAGCCAATAGAGACTCATCTTTACCTTTTCAAGCTGCTGTTGTGTTGGCTTTGGCTGTAACTCCATGTTGTGCTACATCCAGGTGCAACAGGAGAGATGTGGACACCACCAGCTTTAAAGTGGAGGACCTTACAGAGGGAGATGAGTATGAGTTCAGGGTGATGGCTTACAATGAAGTCGGACCCAGCCGACCTTCATCTACTGCTGGACCAATCATCATCCAGGACCAGAGCTGTAAGAGAAATTTAATAAAATGGGCAGTGGAGCTGCAGAGTTTGATTTTCAGTTCAGTATTGAGTCCGTTCAACAGCTCCTTATATTGTCACTTAAAACCCTACATAACGTGCACCTCTGCACATATGCAGTTACACTGTGTAGTAACAGTACACTTCAGTACTTTAGTCATATTTGTCATTTTATGGGTGCTAACCTGTGAAATGTGATGGATGCAGAGCTGGATGTTCTGTTTGTAAATTATGTCCTTTTTAACCTCAAGTTACAGTGTCCCAACAGCAGTATGTAATGACTATCAGTACCTTTCATAAAATAAACAAAGCACAATATTTTATGGACATTACCTTGAGTATTGCCCATATTTACTTTCGTCAGTGTTAGATTTCCACCTAGAAAGACAAGCTGCCAAAATGCAATTAAAAAGCAAATAACTGTCAAATCCTTTATTTCGTCCTCCAGGTGCTCCATCCATCGAGCTGAATGAGTTCATGGAGGTGGAGCAGGGCTCCGACATTAGCATTGTGGCCCAAATTCGTGGCTGTCCATTCCCTACACTCACCTGGTACAAGGCTCCGCCCCACAAGTCCGACGCGAAGGTGGAGGTTCAGTACGACGAGCATATAAATAAGATTGTTTCGGACGACAGCTGCACACTGCTCATCCAGCAGGGCAAACGTCCCGACACAGGCCTGTACACGCTGGTGGCTTCCAACAGCCTTGGCAAGGCCTCCAAGGAGATGAGGCTCAACGTGCTCGGTACAATCACAAAACACACTGCAAACATACCTAAAATATCTCATGTTTTATTTTAACTTTCATATTAATTATTTATTTTCATGATAGTCGGTGTGGTGGAGTAAATTGCTGGAATTACAGTTATCGTTCACCAGAATAATTTCCACAGCATTATTGGAGTCTTGATTTTGTGTGCCTGCAGGCCGTCCCGGTCCTCCCTCTGCTCCCATTAAGTTTGAGGAGATTGGAGCTGAGAAGATCACGCTTTCCTGGCTGCCGCCGAAGGACGATGGTGGCTCCAAAGTCACGAACTACGTCATCTGGAGGCGGGTGGCCAACAGAAAGACTTGGGTGCCTGTCACCAGTGAGCCGAAAGAGCGGATCTGGACAGTGGAGAACTTGATGAAGGGACATGAGTACCTGTTCCGCATTATGGCACAGAACAAGTATGGAGTCGGAGAGCCATTGGACAGTGAGCCCGAGGTGGCCCGAAATCTCTACAGTGAGTTTAACCATCTGACTCTCAGCAGCAAACAAAGCTATGAAACCATTAATGGGTCGATTTAAAGTCAGTCACGTTTAAGGAAGCTTCATATACAGCATGCAATAATATAATTCTTTTCACATCTTCTGTTGCATTGTTATGCTAAACGACAGCAGGAGGGCTTTGTAATAGAGGATGACACTCAGAAAACATACCAAGCAGTAATCCATCTTTTAGTCATTCTTAACCATCAGCACAATAATAGCTGTGAGATTTTAACAAGTCATGCGAAACTATCAAATCAAATGTTCTTATTTAAAAGTGAAAGTGAGGATCAAAATGTAAAAGATGTACGGGTACGACCTGCATCAGGTCTTCTAATCCTCTAACCTTTGATGCTATGTGTCTGCGCACCTGCAGCTGCACCTGGTCAGGTTGAAAAGCCGACAGTTACCAGCGTAACCATGGACTCCATGACCGTTAACTGGGAAGAACCTGAGGACGATGGGGGGTCCCCGATCACTGGCTACTGGCTGGAACGCAAGGAGACAACTGGCAAACGCTGGACCCGTGTCACCCGCGACCCGATCCGTCCCATGGGCCTGGGCGAGTCGTTTGTGGTGAGCGGACTCGTTGAGGGATCCCAGTATCTATTCCGAGTCTCTGCCATCAATGCCGCAGGGCCCGGACTTGCCAGCCCTCCCACTGACCCCATCTTTGCCAGAGACCCTATCAGTAAGAATTACACTCTGAAATCACTAGAATTCATACAAGTTTTAAGGACACAATATTAACCACCTCTGTCTCCTCCTGTAGCGCCGCCATCTCCTCCAACCCCAAAGGTTTCTGACTGGACAAAGTCTACAGTGGACCTGGAGTGGATTCCTCCTCTGAAGGATGGAGGCTCCAAGATCATTGGTTATTGGGTGGAGCACAAAGAGGAGGGCACTGAAGCCTGGGTCAAGGTAATACAGTTCTACAAACCAAACATCTGATAACTTCATTGACTGGCACATCTATCATGAGGCCAAACTTAGCAAACAAAAGAAGCCAAATTATTTCATGAAGTCCCAACCCAACATGAATAAACCGCAACTTCTCATGAAGCACAAAGCCTTAGTGTCTCATTAGAATAAACCATTTAAACATTCGTCTGTCTGTTAGATCCACTCCATTTTCATGTCTTTTAGGCCAAGGACACGGAAATCCGTGGCACCCGGTTTGTGATCACTGGTCTGAAGACTGGTGGTAAATACAGGTTCAGAGTGATTGCCTTCAATGCTGCTGGCAATGGTGAGCCAGGAGAAGTCCCAGAGGTTCTCGAAGTGAATGACAGAATTGGTAAGTCGGTCCGCTAATTTAGTCAAAGTTCTCCCAGCAATGACTTAAAAGACCTATATGGAGTCCTTTTGGAATAGACTACTGAGTTTCTTCCTTCCAGTTGCGCCTGAGGTCGACTTGGATGCCTCGGTGAAAGAAAGAATAGTGGTCCACGCTGGCGGCGTGATCCGAATCATTGCCTACGTGTCAGGCCAGCCATCCCCCGATGTCACCTGGAGTAGAGATGGAGCTGCACTGCCTCCTGAGGCTAAAGTGGAGACCACAGCCATCAGCTCATCTCTTGTCATCAAACCTTGCACTAGGAAACACCTTGGTGTGTACACACTGACCGCCAAAAATGCTGGAGGAGAGAAGACAAAGAAGATCACAGTGGAAGTTCTGGGTAACACACTGTTTTCATTAAAATGGAATTGTTGGACATTTAAAACCCACAGAAATTGTAAATATGTATTTATTACGTTTGATTGTGTCCTTCTTAGATGTTCCCGGGCCAGTAGGCATCCCCTTAGTTGCAGAGAACCTGAGCAGTGACTCCTGCAAAATCAACTGGTTCTTCCCTGAGAATGATGGCGGCTCACCTATAAGCAACTTCATTATTGAGAAACGTGAGGCTGAGCGCAAAGCCTGGACGTCGCTGTCCTACACCGCCAGCAGACAGAACGCTGTGGCTCATGACCTCACACCTGGAAAGGCCTACTTCTTCAGAGTAGCTGCAGAGAATGCCATCGGTATTGGACCCTTTCTGGAGACTGCAGCTGAGATTGTCGTCAAGGAACCCATCAGTGAGTTTAATTAAACAAACATAGTGGCCATTGGACACTAGAGGTCTTTTACTGCACTAAAGAAATGATGAAGGTTATCTGATCCAACCAAGAGTACAAATCTAAATCACTAAGCGAGTTCCTGTCTTCAGATGTGAAGAATGTTTGTATGTTTGTTTTGTAGGTGTTCCTGACCGACCAGAGGAGGTGGAAGTCACCAAGGTCACCAAAGATTTGATCAGCATTGCTTGGAAGGCGCCCAAGTATGACGGTGGCTCAGAGATCACTATGTATGTCCTGGAAGCACGCATGATTGGCAAAGACAAATTCACTAGACTGACAAAGGAGCACCTGATGGACAGGAAATACACCTACGATGGCCTCAGGGAGGGTGACACCTATGAGTTTAGGGTCATTGCTGTCAATGAGGTTGGCCCCAGCAAACCATCTTTCTGCACCAAACCAGTCACCTGCAAGGACGAGCTGGGTAAGCGGTTGTCCATATTAGAACTGCATTATTATTGGCAGCGAACGGGGTTCAGTAAAACATGCCAGTGTCATCAACAAAAAATAAAAATGAAAAACAGTGAAATGATTGATTTCCATGAGGAACATCATGTCAGAAGATCTCTGTGAGAGGCCACTTCTTTGTCATATACAATATAAAGCAACCTGAGCAAACTGTTATAAATAAATATATAAATATAAAAATAATATTGAATTGAAATTTCATTTCTGGATTCACAGATCGTCTTCATCAGGTTACACAGTTTGCTCCAAAAATACAGTCAGAATAAAAGTTTTTTCACGTTACATAATAAAATGTTCTTAGTGGGTCTTTAAATTAGGTAAACACAACCTGAGATGAACAGCAACACAACATGTTGCACCATGTTAACACTAAACCAACATGGAGAAGCAGTGAAAAAAAACAGTATCGTCTAAGTATAACCATTACTACTGAAAGCAGTGAAAATTCAATGGTCAGCATCACTCGTATTAGAAAATATTCATTAGAAAAAATAACAACAAGAAGGAACAACAAACAAAAAAAAGTACTTTGAATAAAATTACTTTTTTTTTATCGGACTCCACATGCCAGTGTGGTTTCTTACTCCCAGTAAGGCAAAATCGAAAACAGAAATGTCGAGATCATCCTAAATGTATTAAATATTAAAAATGATGCTTTCCATTTTCACAGAGCCGCCCACCATTGAGCTGGATTTCCGCGATAAGATCATCATCCGCGTGGGGGAGAGCTGCCTGCTGCAGGGCCGCTATACTGGTAAACCACCTCCATCCATCACGTGGTATCGTGACGACAAGGAGCTGAAAGCTGACAAACACATCATGTTCAAGAACACGCTAACCACCATGTCGCTGGGCCTGATGAAGGCAGAGCGTGAACACAGCGGCAGATACGTGGTCGTTGTAGAGAACAGTACCGGATCCAGGAAGGGAGTCTGCAACATCACGGTTGTTGGTACGTCAACACAGATCTCAAAGAGACGTAGCAGCTAAATGACTGATTTATTTCACATTTACTGCTTTCAAGCAGACTGAAATACAAGCTTTCTAAATAATGCAGGGAGTGCGTGATCACACAACAGAGAACTCATTTCTCTTTGTCTTTTCTTTCTGCCCTCCAGACCGCCCGACTCCTCCTGTTGGCCCAGTGGTGTTTGAGGAGGTTCACAGGGAATACATGGTGATCTCCTGGAAGCCTCCTTTGGACAGTGGTGGTGTTGATGTCTCTAATTACATAATTGAGAAAAGAGACATCAACAGAGAAACCTGGACCACAGTAACATCTGCCACCACCAAGACCACATGCAAAGTAGGCTGATGTGGCTCTACAAGATGTTCAGAGGTCCTGTTAAAGGTTTGCTGCAGTTGAGAGATGCTTACATGTTGTTGTTTCTTCTCAGATCCCCAAGCTGACAGAGGGCAGGGAGTATATAATGAGAATCTGTGCTGAGAACATGTACGGTATCAGCGACCCTCTGGAATCTGAGGAGATGAAAGCCAAAGATCTCTTCAGTACGTTCATGGAGTGCTATTTTTTTTGCTGTTCCAGTTTGAGGTGTCAAATTACCAGTGAGAAAAAATGTTCTTTTTAACTGGAAGACGTATGAAGAATTTACCAAAAAAAACAGCAAAAGAAAAATAATAAATGATCTGCAAATAACTGGTATGCTCAAAGTTACCAAATGTCGTTCCCTATGTGTCTGTTTGCTCTTGCTGCCTTCCTGCAGGAGTCCCCGAAGCCCCTGAAATGCCAACAGTCAGGGAGGTGTATGGCACCAATGCTCTAGTGCTGTGGAACCGGCCTCGTGATGGTGGAAAGCCCATCACCAACTACATCCTGGAGAAAAAAGAGACCACAGCCAAGAGGTGGTCCAGGGTCACCAGAGACCCACTGTACCCAGCCACTCAGTATCGAGTCCAGGATCTAGTGGAGGGCTGCGAGTATGAATTCAGGGTGATGGCTGAGAATGAGCTCGGACCTGGAGATCCCAGTGTCCCCTCCAAGCCCATACTTGCCAAAGACCCTATTGGTTAGTTTGTCAAAGACATTAAATATTTGTAAAAACAGTACTATACTCAGGTGTTCCTTGTGCATAAAAGGTCCCTGCCATAAAGTTACAAATATTTTAGGTGCCCATCTTTGCTACTAGGATTAAGAAAGCGTTTCAGATTTTTTGTTTTTTTTTTATCACAGTGCGCCCCAGTCCTCCTGTGACCCCCGAGGCCTATGATAAGACCAAGGACTCTGTCAGCCTGAAGTGGAAGATGCCACGCCACGACGGGAGGGGACGAATCTTTGGATACCTTGTGGAGTACCAGACACCTGGTGCCGTAGAGTGGATGCAAGCCAACGAAACCCCAGAGCAGTGCCCTGACCTCCACTATGTGGTGACAGGGCTGGCTGAAGGACACGAGTACAAATTCAGGATCTTCACTGTCAATGCTGCCGGCAAATCAGATCCTGCTTATGTCAAGGACACCATTAAAGTCCATGACAGGCTTGGTAATAGAATCAGTTGCACTTGTTTTTTTTCTGTATTTTAAGTTTTTTGAACAACATATTCTTTAAATACAGAAACATATAGAAATGTGCAAAATAAACAAATTATGTTACAATATTTTCAATTGTATTAAAGATTTATCATTTGAATGCATTTTTGCTTAGCTGCCAGGGCTTTCTGCCTTTTTCCCCCTACATTTACTAAATTCTGTAAACTTTTTTCCATTTGCCTCCACAGAGGAACCAGAGTTGCTGCTGGATGCCAACATGGCACGTGACCACCTGGCCATGCTGGGCACTGACATCACCCTGAGTGCCACCATCAAAGGTGTGCCGACGCCCACAGTCAGCTGGAAGAAGAACGATGCAGACGTTCCTGCTCACATCACCGTCGCTGTTACTGCCACTGGCAGCAAAGTCTTCATCCCGAAGTGCGTCCGTGCAGACTCTGGCAACTACACCATCACTGTTGAGAATGCTGCTGGAAAGAAGACAGCAACCGTTGCTGTGCTTGTGCTGAGTAAATTCACTCTCTGTTAATACGATGAATTATTGAGTTCAGATCATATTTGAGTTTTACTTGACCACAAACTTTTGTTTCCGCTAGACAAGCCTTCTCCTCCCAGGGACTTGGCGATCTCTGATGTGACCAGTGAGTCTGCCTACCTCACGTGGAAGGCTCCAGAGGACAATGGCGGTGCCGTCATCTCTCATTACATCGTGCAGAAGAAGAACGTGGCTGCTGAGCAGTGGGTACCTGTTGCTGCGGCCAATAAGAAACTGAGTCTGATGGCCATGTACCTGATGGAAGGAATCCAGTATTTGTTCAGGGTAGCTGCAGAGAACCAGTTTGGCAGGAGTGATTATGTAGTGACCAAAACACCCATCAAGGCTGTCGATCCTCTCTGTAAGTGAAAGTCATTACTGCGTGACGTGGTCTAATTTGACACACTTTTAAATAGTGATTCTTCAGCTACTTTGGTAAATTGATAGTTGTATGCCATGCCATTATTGTAGGGTCTTTATCTTACAATAAAAAGTGTCTTGAGGCAAATGTTGTTTTTGGCGCTAAATAAATAAAACTAGAATAAAGTGAAACTTTAAAAGTGTAACTGTAAATTTATACATTTGAATCCCATCAATAAAAAGCATTAAAAAGCAATTAATTTCTTATTTCCTGGATACTTTAGATCCTCCTGGCCCACCCAAGAACCTGCACCATACTGATGCAGATAAGACAGAGGTTTGGTTGGCATGGGAGTGGCCTGACCGCACCGGCGGAAGTGAAATTACTGGCTTCATTGTGGAGCACCAAGAAGAGGGTCAGACTGACTGGGTCACCTTCAAGACCGTAAGCAACAATCACACCCATGTCACAGGTCTGGAGGAGGGCAAGACTTACCGCTTCAGGGTCAAAGCTCAGAACGCCATTGGCGTGAGCCGTCCCGACACCAGTGTCCCTGTCACATGTCAGGAGAAAACATGTAAGAAGCATAACTTTGCTGTATTGTAAATGCTCAACATTCTCCTGAAATAATTATAATATTTCTGCTCTGTTACTCTCTTTCAGTGCCACCTACTATTGAAGTTGATGTAAAGCTTATTGAGGGTCTCATTGTCAAAGCTGGCACCACTATTGCTCTTCCAGCCAAGATGGTGGGAATCCCTCTTCCCACTGCCAAATGGATGACTGATAGCAAAGAGATCACATCTGAGGGCCGCTATCACATTCAGTCAGCTGAATCCACAACCACCCTAAGTATCCCTGAGTGCCAGAGAGCAGACACTGGAGAGTATATACTCACTGTGTCAAATCCTGCAGGCAGCAAAACTGTTGCCCTTCATGTGACCGTCCTGGATCTTCCAGGTCCACCCATTGGACCCATTAATATTTTGGAAGTCACCCCTGATTACATGATGATCCAATGGAGAGCCCCAAAGGATGATGGTGGAACACCTATCACTAACTATGTGGTGGAAAAGAAGGATGTGAAAAAACCATGGGAGCCTTGGTCTGTGGTTAGCTCCAGTGGCACAGTGACCAGAGCCAAGGTGTCCAGACTAGAGAAAGGCCGTGAGTACATTGTCCGTGTGCGTGCGGAGAACAAGATTGGTATCGGTGCTCCACTTGAGAGTCCTCCAACTATTGCCAAACACATGTTTAACCCTCCCGGCCCACCAGGCCTACCAGAATGTTCTGATATAACAGAGAATGCTGTAACAGTGTCATGGAGCCTGCCTGACTATGATGGAGGAAGTCCTATCAGTGGTTATGTGGTTGAACGCAGAGAAATGACAGGAAAGTGGATCCGTGTCAATAAAACACCTGTTCTCGACCTCAGATATAGAGTCTCTGGCTTATTTGAAGGGAACACTTATGAGTTCAGAGTATTTGCAGAAAACATTGCTGGTATCAGTGAGCCCTCGCTTACCTCTGATCCCATCAAGGCCACCCGAGCCATCACCAAACCTGGCCCCCCTGGTAATCTTAAACTGAAAGACTGGAGTAAGTCCCATGCTGACATCTGTTGGACCAAGCCTACAAGAGATGGAGGTAGTCCCATTCTGGGGTATGTAATTGAGGCTCAGAAGTCAGGAACTGCCCAGTGGGACAGAATCAACAAAGACCTTGTCAAGATGTGTGCCTATAGAGTTCCAGGCCTCATCGAAGGACTAGAGTACAGACTCCGCATCAGAGCCACCAATAAGGTTGGAGACAGTGAACCCAAGGAGCTACCTCAGACTATCTTGGCAAAGGACATCCTGGTACCACCTGAAGTTGTTGTTGATGTGTCATGCCGTGACTCTGTGACAGTCAGAGCAGGTCAGATTATCAGTTTGATCACTAGAGTCAAAGGCAGACCCGATCCAGAGATCACTTGGACCAAGGATGCCAGAGCTTTGGCCAGGGATAAGCGCACACAGATGAACAACAACTACCCACTGTGTGAACTCATCATAAACGATGCAGTCAGATCAGACTATGGTAAATATGCTATTGTGGCCAAGAACAGCAGCGGGCAGGCACAGGCTGCCATTGTTGTCAATGTCCTAGACACACCGGGAGCTTGCCAGAATATAAAAGTGGCTTATGTGACCAAGAAATCCTGCATGGTTTCCTGGGAGAACCCTGAAGACAATGGAGGAACTGAGATCACGCAGTACATTATTGAATGTCGTCAGCCCAGCCAGCGAGGATGGACAGTGGTTTCCAATGACTGCACTAAGCGTCTGATAAAGGCTCCTCTTACAGAAAGTTGTGAATATTTCTTCCGGGTCAGCGCAGAGAACAAGATTGGCACTGGTCCACCCACTGAGACCAAGACACCTGTATTGGCAGTTGATCCCATTGAGAAACCTGGTGAACCCATTGACTTCCATATATCTGAGATAGGCAAGACCTTCTGCTTCCTGAAGTGGAAGAAGCCAGATTATGATGGTGGTAGCCGTAATCTGGGTTATCATATTGAAAAGAAACCAAAGGAGGCTGATGAGTGGGAGAGGCTTCACAAGGGTGCCATCAAGGAGACTTACTTCATGGCCGACAGATGTATCGAAAACCAGATCTACCAGTTCAGAGTTCAGACTAAGAATGAGGGCGGTGAAAGCAACTGGGTTACCACAGCTGAAGTCATGGTTAAGGAACAGTTAGTGATCCCTGAGATCAAGATTAAATTGGATGGAACCCTTATAGTAAAAGCAGGAGGCTCCATTCCTATAGAGGCAACAGTGACGGGCAAACCCCAGCCTGATATCAAATGGACCAGGGATGAAAGCACAGAGGAAATTAAGAAGGGCCCCAGGCTTCAAATCGAAAGTGGTGCAGACTTCTCTAAACTTCTGATTACTGGAGCAAGGCGCACTGACAGTGGCAAATATGCTGTTACTGCCTCCAACAATGCAGGAACATGCTCTGCTCATGCCAAGGTCATTGTACTGGATAGACCTGGCCCCATCAGGGATCTCAAGATATCCGGTATCACTAATGACAGGTGTCATCTGGCCTGGGAAATCCCAGAGGATGATGGTGGCTGTGATATCTACAACTACATAATTGAGAAATGTGAGACCAAGAGGGGAGTCTGGTCTGTTCACTCCAATGCCGTCATCACCAACAAAGCGAAGGTAACTCGTCTTATTGAGGGTAATGAGTATATGTTCAGAGTTAGAGCCGAGAATAAGATGGGCTCTGGACCAGCAGTACAGAGTGAAGCTATTGTTGCTGGAACGCAGTTCAGTGTACCTGGTGCTCCAGAAGCACCAGAGGTCATCAAGATTGCCAAGGAGGAGATGACTGTTCAGTGGTCAGAGCCAGAGAAAGATGGTGGAAAGCCAATCACAGGATATCTGTTGGAGAAGAAAGAGGAGCATGCTGTTAAGTGGTCTCCTGTCAACAAGGATCCAATTCCTGGAACTCGTTTCACAGTTACTGGACTCCTTCCACTTCATGAATACCAATACAGAGTGAAGGCGGTGAATGAAATTGGCATCAGCAACCCAAGCAAGGCTTCACGTGCAATCACTGCTAAGGATGCAGTTGGTATGTTGCTAGTAATAATGTTTACATTCTGCTTAATGTTGATAGTCTAGAAAGTCTCAATGGCTACACAAACCGTTCTTCTCTTATTACAGAGCCACCTGCACCTCCTACTAACTTGAAGGTTGTGGACAGCACCAAATCCACAGTCACCTTGGGATGGACCAAGCCGGTGTCAGATGGCGGAGCTCCCATCATTGGTTATGTTGTGGAGATGAGGGCAAAGGGATCTGTTAAGAAAGGTGAAGATGGCTGGAAGAGGTGCAACGTGGCAGCTCAGCTGATCATATGCGAGTTCACAGTCACAAGTCTGGATGAGAACCTTGTGTATGAATTCAGAGTGTCAGCTCAGAACCAGGTGGGCATGAGCCTGCCATGCAATCTGGAAGGCGCCGTGATTCCCAGGGAGATTCTAGGTGAGGACGTAATTGAATTTAATTATATTTCACGTAAAGTGTAACAGAAAATGTATTTAGACTCGAGGACAGTGAATTTACACTAAAATGTGATCTATGCTTGCTATTAAAAGATAACTCCACTGTTACTCTTCCAACAGAGACACCCGAGATAGACTTGGATGCCAACCTAAAACAGGGATTAACCGTAAGAGCCGGTTGTCCCATCAGATTATGTGCCACCATCAGAGGCAGACCACCTCCAAAGGTGATTTGGAGGAGGATGGGTATTGACAACGTGGTCAGGAAGGGTAAAGTTGACATCATTGACACCATGACCTTCCTGGTCATTCCCAACAGCACACGTGATGAATCTGGAAAATACTGCCTGACTCTGCAGAATCCTGCTGGAGAGAAAGCTGTGTTTGTCAATGTGAAGGTTCTGGGTAAGTCCTGGTCATTAAGAAATTCATGCAGCTACCATTCGGTTTATTAAAAATGCTTTTATTTTGGTGAAGTTATAAAATAATCCAAATATCATAACAGACACTCCTGGACCTGTGATGAATCTGGAAGCTACAGACATCAAACAGACATCAGCAATGCTGTCTTGGAGCCCTCCAGAGAACAATGGTGGCAGTGACGTCACACATTATATTGTTGAGAAGCGTGAGATTGACCGCAAAACCTGGGCAACTGTCAAGGCCGAAGTAGCACTCGATAAGATTCCATTCAAAGTTACCAATCTGATGCCAGGAACAGAATACTACTTCAGGGTCACAGCTGTCAATGAATATGGTTCTGGGGTTCCCAAAGTGACACCCACTTCTTACCTGGCTTCTGATCCTGTCAGTACGTATCATGTCTTAATTACATCAACACAAACAGCCCAGCCACAACTGATAGCTACCCGTTAAACACAGAAATGATGTTTCATCAGTCACAGCAAACAATTGAACACAAGTGTTTTACTTTGTTTTTATAGGCAAGCCAGATCCTTGTCAGAAAATTGAAGTCCTAGAAATCACAAAGAACAGTGCTTTGGTCGGGTGGGTGAAGCCTGCAGGGGACGGTGGTGCCAAGATTGATGGTTATGTAATTGAATACATTGAGGTCAAACCTCCTCCAGAGCCACCAGCAGCTGTGGAGGTTTGTTATGTCGCAAAACTAATTCTGTTCAAAAAAGCTTCAATAAACTTTGATTTCTTCTAAATGTGAAATTGTTTCATATATAGTATTTACTTTTGCTGGGTTTTTTTACACGAGCATATTCTCTCATATAGTTTTGCAACTCATTAATTATATAATTTACTGCAGGTTCCTGAAGGAGAGGAAGCTCCTCCACCACCTCCACCACCACCAGTTATAGAGGAGGAAGAGAAGCCAGAGCCTGAAAAGGAAGTGTGGAACGCTTATACTACAGTTAAAGGTTTGACAGTCAGCATCAGTGGACTGAAGGAGGGCAAGAGGTACAAGTTCAGAGTGGCTGCCAAAAACATCATGGGTCTCAGCTTGTTCACTGAAACCAGAGACCCTGTTGAGATCAAGGAACAGATGTGTAAGTTGTGTCTAATTAAACACTAGTTTTATTGATAATTTGTCACACTGTGGCCATTTGTGTTGCAATTTGCAATATTTAGAAACACTCAACCATCCTTTCACTTTTTTAACTGCTTGTTAAATTCAGGCTGAGGGGTGAGGCTCACCCTAGGACTGGTTTCTTTCATACATTTATTACTTCATGTTTCTCTAAAAGGTTCCTGAAAGGCTTCAGATGATCCACAGTGCCGCAGGGAGAGTAGTAACTAGGACTAGAGAGACCACATTTTTTTCATTCTGGCTTCTTCTCATTCTCATCCTGTTAAGTTCAGAATCAAACTTAAAATTCTGCTCCTCACCATATCACCCTATTAAAGCACTTCGCTCTCGCTCTGCAGGCCTACTTGTTGTTCCTAGAGTATTTAAAAGTAGAATGGGAGGCAGAGCCTTCAGTTTTCAGGCCCCTCTTCTGTGGAACCAGCTTCCAGTTTGGATTCAGGAGACAGACACTATCTCTACTTTCAAGATCAGGCTTAAAACTTTCCTTTTTGCTAAAGCATATAGTTAGGGCTGGACCAGGTGACCCTGAATCCTCCCTTAGTTATGCTGCAATAGGTGTAGGCTGCCGGGGATTCCCATGATGCATTGGGTGTTCTTCACTCACTGTGTGTTTCTTATATTTTTACCCTCTTATATTTAATCATTTAATTTAATTTAATCATTAGTCATTTTTAAACTCTGGCTCTGTCTGCTGTCTTGCTTCACTCTGCTGTCTTCTTCCTTCCGTCATCCCAAACAGTCCTGGCTGATGGCTGCCCTTCTGTGAGCCTGGTTCTGTCAATAAGTGCTTAGTCAATCTGATTTTGGGGATTCTTTCTAATATTGTATTTTTACATTATAAAGCACCTTGAGGTGACTGTTGTTGTGATTTTAATCCACATATATGTGTGTGTGTATGTATGTATGTATGTGTGTATGTGTGTGTGTATGTATGTGTGTATATATATATATATATATATTAGTGCTGAATTAGAAGCTGCTTTCTGCATCCCAGAGTAATGTCTCTTCACATCCTGTCCTCCAGTGGAACCAAAGATTGTCATGCCAGAGGCAGCTAGTGCTAGAGCTGGAGCCAAGCTTAGAGTGGAGGCAGTGGTTTCAGGAAAACCAACCCCAACCTGCAAGTGGCTGCGTGGCGAAAAAGCCGTGGTTCCATCCAGCTGCCTGGCTGTGCATCAGTCAGGCAACTTGTGTGTCTTGATCATCAAAGACGTATCAAGGACTGACACTGGAGAGTACAGCCTTGTGGCTGAGAACAGCACTGCAAAGGTCACCCAGACCATGAAGATTGTCATCAGAGGTCAGTGCCCCTAAATAATAATAAATTTTAAAAAAGAATTTGCGTATTTGACCTCAGCAACAGAAAGCATGAATGTGATGAAGAACATGATTGGTGTAACTGTAACCGTGTGTATTTCAGATATACCCGGGCCTCCTGAGGGCCCTGTAGAGATCAGCGATATTGACTCTGATGCTTGTTCCTTATCCTGGAATAAACCTCTGGAGGATGGAGGGAGCAACATCACTAACTACGTGGTGGAGAAATGTGATGTGAGTAGAGGCGACTGGGTGACTGCTCTCTCTACATGCCCAAAGACTAATTGCAGGCTGGGAAAGCTTATCCCTGGGAAGGAGTATGTGTTCCGCATCCGTGCTGAGAACCGCTTTGGCGTATCAGACCCCGTTCAATCCGACAGGATGGTTGCAAAGTTCCCCTTTGGTAGGTCTACCTAAATATGCCGCTTGGTAGAGATTAAGGTTTATGCCTAGAGTTGGTCAATTATATAATTGAAAACTGGTTTGCAGTACAGAATATAGATTAACTTTGTTTACTGTCACTAGATGTTCCAAGTGAACCCTTTAACTGCCGCATCAACAAGACCAACAAAGACTGTATGTTTGTGGCCTGGGATAAGCCAGAGAGTGACGGAGGCAGTCCCATCACGGGTTACTATATTGAGCGCAAAGAGAGGAACAGTCTGCTGTGGGTGAAGGCCAATGACACTGTTGTTCGAAGCACTGAGTACCCATGTGCTGGCCTCATCGAGGGCCTGGAATACACCTTCAGAGTATCAGCTATTAATCGCGCTGGCCAGGGCAAACCAAGCAAGAAGACTGACTTTTTCACTGCAAGAACACCCGTTGGTAAGTATAACTGGCTTCATATTAGATTAGAATAGGTCATTCATTCTATTTAAACTAATTTATCTGTTATGCACTACAGACACTCCAGGTAAACCTGAAGTCCTGGATGTAACCAAGAACTCAGTCACTCTGGTTTGGACCCGTCCTAAGAATGATGGAGGTAGCAAGATCATTGGTTACTATGTTGAGGCCCTGCGGGTACCAGGAGACACTTGGATACGCTGCAACACAAGTAGCCAGAATGTGCCTAAGGAGGAATACACAGTTACTGGCCTGGAGAGAGACTTGCAGTACCAGTTCAGAGTTATTGCTAAAACTGCTGTCAACATGAGCAGTCCCTCAGAACCCACAGACCCTGTCCTCGTGTGTGCTGAAAATGGTTAGAAGTTTTGACAATACCATATAGCCTGATAAACTAGTCAGCCTACTATAATAGTCAGGATAACACCATCTTTCTACGACAGTTTTGAGCTAAGTGTTCATTTACCTCCTTTTCATTAAATATAGTTCCTCCAAGGGTGGAGCTCAATGCCAGGATGCAGAAGGGTTTGAAGGTGAAGGCTGGAACTACAATCCTCCTGGAGGCTGATGTGTTCGGTAAGCCCATGCCCAGAGTGACCTGGAAGAGAGGTGACGACAATCTGAAGTCAGGTGAAGGCCAGGTTATTACCCACCAAAGAAATCACTTTCAGCTGGAAATGACAGGTGTCACCAAGGAGCATACAGGAACATACACCATCTTTGCTGAGAATGCCAGTGGCTCCAAGAGTGCTGAGATCCAGGTCATTGTGCTAGGTAAGATCTTTAACTTTCTATGAGGAAAAAAAATATATGTTGAAACTAAAGATCCAAGTTGGAGTTAGAATGTTTAATATTATATTTTACATTAACTTCAACATGATTTTCACAAATAGCTGATTGGTTTTTTCAGATGTACCTGGTCCTCCTGCAAATTACAAATGTGTTGAGGTGTTTGCCACTAGCATCAAGTTGTCTTGGGAACCTCCTCTTAAGGATGGTGGTGCCCCAGTCACCAACTATATATTGGACAAGCGTGAAACCAGTAGACCTGAATGGGCTCAGGTTGCAGGTAAAATCAAGGGTGACATCCTTGAGTTCACTGTGGCAAAGTTAATTGAAGGTCATGAATACCAGTTCAGAATCCGAGCTGAGAACACGTGGGGAGTTGGAGACCCTCTTATCACCGGCCCTGTCATCGCCAAGAACCCATTCAGTGAGTCATTACTAGAATTTTGTCTGAGTTCATATATCACAGAAAGGATTTATGGTATTGGAGAATTGTAACAATCAATAATTTAAACTAGGTCTAAACCTGTGAGATAAGGAGACAAGTAGTTACATCAAACCAGCTTAACATCATTACAATATTCTGTTATCATATAGAGCTTCTTTTCATAACATTTCCATGTTGAATGGCATATATAAAATTTCATTTAACCCTTGTGTGGTGTTCGTATTTTTGTTACTCAGCCAGTGTTCATGGGTCTGGTGGACCCGCTAGAGTTTTGGCTTTCCAAATTAACACTATCAAACAATTTTATGTTAAATTACTCAACAGATGTTTACTTCATCCCAATTACAAGACATATGAACAGCAAACATGGTTAATGTTTTCCCTTTACCTTTGTTAGATCACATTTATGAATTAATGTGTTTCTCGTTTTTCTTTTATATAAAATGTTATAAATAAATCAGTTATAATCAAGTGGAGTGAGTGGAAAGACACAACACATTTACACGTGAAAAAATAATTAATTGTTAAATTTTTCTTTTGAAAAAAACTGAACACGGGTCTCACAGACCCGAACACCATACAAGGGTTAAAAAAAAATACCATCTAAAGTCGTCCTTTGGTGTCACTTCCAGCTGTCCCTGGCCCCTGTGAAGCCCCAGTGATCACCAATGTCACCAAGGACCGTATGACCGTTAGCTGGAAGGAGCCTGCAGATGATGGAAAGTCCACTATCCTGGGTTACATGTTGGAAAAGAAAGAGACCAAGGAAATGAATTGGACCAAGTTAAATAGGAAGCCACTGACAGAAAGAAGTCTGGAGGTTACAGGCCTCACAGAGGGAGTCGAGTATGAGTTTAGAGTTATTGCTGTCAACGTGGCTGGGCCCAGCAAACCCAGCGAGCCTTCTTCTGGCAATGTTGCACAGAATCCTATTAGTGAGTCGTAACTTCATTAGCTCTGATAACTCTGCATAGATCTTTCTGTGTTACTTGAACTTATATGTACTTAAATGTATATATAACCTAAACTGGGTCAATCTGCTCTTTTTTAGCTCCTCCTGGACCTGTTGTGAATCCTAGTGTGACTGACACCACCCACAGCACCATCAGTCTTGCCTGGACTGCCCCCACCAACAATGGTGGAAGCCCCATTATTGGATACTTGGTGGAGTGCAAGAGGACAGACACCAAAGACTGGATCCGCTGTAATGTCCCAAGGAACCTGCAGGAGACCCACTACGTCATTCAAAACCTCATTCATAAGTCAGAATACCAGTGCCGCATCACTGCTGTCAACAAGATTGGCTTTAGTGAACCAGTTGAAGTCCCTGGGAAACATGTTGCCAAGGACATCGTTGGTATGTATTTTCAGGCTGCATATATTTTAATTCTGACAAACAGTGATTAAATGGTAAATGGCCTGTATTTGTATAGCGCTTTTCTAGTCCCTAAGGACCCCAAAGCGCTTTACACAACCAGTTATCCACCCACACACACACTGGTGATGGCAGCTACATTGTAGCCACAGCCACCCTGGGTCGCACTGACTGACTGTCGCACTGACAGAGGCGAGGCTGCCGGACACTGGCACCACCGGGCCGTCTGACCACCACCAGTAGGCAACAGGTGAAGTGTCTTACCCAAGGACACAACGACCGAGACTGTCCAAGCCAGGGCTCGAACCGGCAACCTTCCGATTACAAGGCGAACTCCCAACTCTTTGAGCCCCGATCACCACTATTAAGTAGTACATCTACAAAATAATTTAAGTACAACATAAAAATAACTGCTCCTGGACAAAGGCAGATTACGCATAGTTGTGAGGATCATGACCAAGACAGATGAAAATAGAACAACCAGGATTTCAGACCTTGCGACTTCACGTTATACAGGGAGTGCAGAATTATTAGGCAAGTTGTATTTTTGAGAAATAATTTTATTATTGAACAACAACCATGTTCTCAATGAACCCAAAAAACTCATTAATATCAAAGCTGAATGTTTTTGGAAGTAGTTTTTAGTTTGTTTT